AGAAAAATCTCACCTTGAATGACAATAGTCAATAGATGCCAATACCAATATGACATAGATGTTAGAATTCTCTGACAAGGATTTTTAAGCAGCCATCATAAAAATGCTTCAACAGCGATTATAAACCCTTCAAAGAAATGGAAAAATAGAAAGTCTCAGTAAAGAATAGAAGATATCAAGAAGAACCAAATGGAAACTTTAGAACTGAAAAATATAATAACTAAAGCAAAAAACTCAAAGTACAGGCTCAACAAAAGAATGGAGGAGACACAGGAATCAGTGAACTTGAAGACAGAACAACAGAAATTACCCAATCTGACCAAGAGAAAGAAAACAGACTGAAAAAGAAAAATGAACAGAGCTTCAGGGATCTGTAGGACTATCACACAAAAAAACCTAACAATAGTGTCATCGGAGTCGCAGAAGGGCAGAAGAAAGAGAGTGAGGCTGAAAAAAAAAATGAAGAAATTACGGCTGAAAATTTCCCAAATTTGGCAAGACCTAAACTTATAAATTCAAGAAGCTGAGCAAACTCCAAATGGGATGAATCCAAAGAAATTCAGGCCAAGATATAGTCAAATTTCTGAAAACTAAAGACAAAGAAAAAGCTCTTGAAAGCAGTGATGGAGAAACAAGACTACAGGGGGAAAATTGTTCAAATGTGAGATTTCCAATGGGAGAGATTTCCCATCGGAAACCATGGAGGCCAGAAAGAAGAGGCACAATATTTTCCAAGTGCTGAAAGAAAAATGTCAATCCAGAATTCTATATCCAATAAAAATATCCTCCAGGAATGAAGGGGAAATCAAGACATTCTCAAATGAAGGAAAACTAAGAGAATTTGTCACCAGCAGACCTATCTTAAAAGAATGGGTAAAGGAAGTTCTCTGAGCAGAAAGTAAATGATAAGAGAAGGAATCCTGGAACATCAAGAAGGAAGAAAAACCCAAAAGAACAAAAATATGAGTAAACACAATAGACTTTCCTTCCTCCCTTCAGTTTTCTAAATTATGTTTGATGGCTGAAGTGAAAATTATGCCACAGTCTGATGTGGTTCTCAATGAATGTAGAGAAAATATTAAGACAATTATAAATGGGGAAGGGTAAAGGGAAGTTAAGTTTCTATACTTCACTTGAACTGGTAAAATGTTGATACCAGTAGAGAGTTGTTATGAGATAACAGGAAAAAAAAAAAAATATATATATATATATATATATATATATATATATAGTTCTCTGCCCCAGGTTCCTGGCACAGAGCTCCTAAAAACCCATATAATTTCCTCAGTGATAAGAGCACTAGAAGCATCTTTTGTTCTAATAGTTGGTCTTTGACCCCAGTTCCTGACACAGCGCTCCTAAATCCCTTTGAATTTCCTGGGTGACAGCAGTGTCTTTTGTTCTAATGAGGTGACCCTTGGTGGACTCCTGGATGGAGGCTGGTCACCAGAAAGACCAAGCCATGAGTATAAGCTTGGGATTTTTCAGCCCTGCTTCCCATTCTCCAGAGAGAGGAAAGGGGCTGGAAGTGGAGTTAATGATGGATCATGCCTACATGATGCAGGCTCCATAAAAATCTCAAATACAGGGTTTGAAAAGCTTCCAGGTTGGTAACCACATCCACGTACAGGGAGGGTGACGAACCCCAACTCCATGGGGAGAGAAGCTTCTGCATTCGGGACCTTCCCATACCTCACCATATGTATCTCTTCATCTATATCTTTTATCATATCCTTTATTTTGTAATAAATTGGAAATGTGTTTCCCTGAGTTTTGTGAGCTGTTCTAGCAAACAATTAAATCCAAGAGCATGACAACCTGCAATTTGTAGCCACATCGGACAGAGGTTGTGGGGAACCTGGGGACCTACTACTTGCAATTGGCATCTGAAGTCGGGGGTAGTCTCGTGGGACTGAGCCCTTAACCTGTGGGATCTGACACTAGTAGATAGTGTCAGAATTGAGTTAAATCATAGGACACCCAGCTGGTTGTTGTGAGTGAGGTAGCAGTGTGAGACGAAAAGAGAAACACAGGAGGAAGGCTGAGTTTTTTCTAAAACACTTGTGTATATATAATGTAATACCTAGAGCAACCACTAAAACAGCTATACAGAGATACACTCATAAACACTACACAGATAAATCAAAATGGAATTCTAAACAAGGAAAGATGAAAGGCGTTTATGTCTCTTTTTAAAACCCTATTTAGTTGCAATTTCTTTTAACTTATATGGGCCTTTACTTTTTCTCCCCTGTGGGTAGGTGGCCTTGAATAGGAGACCCACTCTGAGTTAAAACAATAGTGCAATCATTAAAGCCACATCATAAAAAAGTAAATAGAATAAAAACTACAGCATAAGACAGTATTCTTAGAACTATTACTCAATCCATAAGTATAAGCAAATACTAAAAGAAGGTTCTATAGAAGAGTTTTAAGAATCCAGCATGGGCCATAAAAATAAAAAGTTAACTGAATTCTTTGATTAGATTTTTTCTTACCATTCATATTCACAGACGTTAAGCTTCCAAGAATACCTTCAACTGTAGAAATAACTACCCATCTTATCAAAAGTAAGTCAGATTAATCCTGTGTAGCGCCATCACAGTACTCAATGCACTCAAATATATTCCCTGGTTCTTGTGGCTAGAACTCTTTGGAAAGTGCAGCAAAGACTGGGCTAGTTATTCTCCAAATCATACTTCTCTTTCCCCACTAGGCATACTGACAGAACATTTCCCAGCCTCCTTTGAAGTTAGGTATGGCCATGTTAAGGAGTTCTGGCCCAGTGGAAAGTGGGTGGGAGACTCTGTCATAAAACCCTCCAGTGCACAATCCTCCATTCTTGCCCCTCATCTGTTGGCCAGATGGAGAGGAGCCAATGGAGAGGACCATAGGAGGCCCCAAGGAATTGTAGCCACTAGAGAGAAGGAGCCTGGGTCTCTGAATCACCACTTGGCAAAAATTATGAGTCATCTGACCAGGAGTACCCACAGGAACAGCAGACAGACAATAAATATTTATTTTGTTAAGCCACTGAAATTGTGTGTGTGTGTGTTTTTAATAGCAGTTAGCCTAACTTAACAAATGCAAGAGTACACATGATTCTCATGCTTCCTTTTTCTGCTTCTCCACAACTGAATTCACTAGGGAATTAGTTGTGAGACTCCTTCAGCGACCCTGCAAAAAGACATCAAACGTCCTTGGAGAAACCTGCCAACTGCGAGCTTCTAAGTTATTTTCATTAGCTGCCCTTCCTTGCTGACATAGTCCACTTAACTTTTGAGTCTGTGAATACTTTGGAATCCAACACTGAGAGCTAAAAGAATCACTCCTTGCTGTTTTTACAGTCATGGTCAAGAAAGCTCGTCACTTGACAGCCCAGTTGGCATCTAGGTGAATGGCAAATACATAGGTTTCCATTTCTACTGAGGAATCAAACTGCATAACAGAGTTAAGATGACGCTGTGATCTGACAGAGCAAAGCAGTTATAGAGATTGTGGAATTATATGACCACACTATTTAGCCCAAATTATTCAAAAAAAGTAAGTACATTTAGGTGTCTTTTGTTCTTTCTACGACTCTACAGTTGTGAAACTTCTGAGGCTGCACAGGTTCTTAAACTTTTTTGTGCCACAGACCCTCTGTAAGTCTGGTAAACCTAATGGACTCCTTATCACAATAATGATTTAAAAGGAATAAAACACATAGGACTCCAAAGAAAACTGAATTAAAATATTATCAAAGTATTTTTTAAACATGTTATTAAACGTCTGTATTGACACATAAAATAACAAGACCCTAGTAGTGGGTCTAATAATTACTGGAAGTTTGAAGTAATGATGAGTGGAAATAACATTTTGATATCACTAACAATTATTATGAAATGAAAATATCTGTGGTTTCTACTGGTGACAAAAATCACAAGTATTACTAATACTAATTGGTTTGTTACTACATTCACAATTAAAAGAAATTAAATTTCAATTAGAAGTTAATGAAACAAAAGATGAAATTTTGATCTTATCCATGGAGCCCAGGTTAAGAACTCCAGGACTAGAGGTTTCCCCAAAACATTGACAGTGTTTATCTCTGGTGGAAATATGGGTGGTTTAAATTTTCCCCTTCCTGTATGTTTCAAATTTTTCACAATAAGCAAACATCACTTTTATAATTATAAAAACCATCACATGATATTTACAAAAATGAGAAGGGTGTATTGCTTGGTAAGTTTTAAGGTACAGAAATAAAATTGGGAAAACAAAGCAATACTTGAAGAAAATCCTTTAGAAAAAAAGGGGGAAACAAAATTCTGGATGAAGATGGAGAAACTAAACCTGACTTTCATCAGAGAGACTTAAAACTGGTAAGACCGTTATCCCATTTACCTTCATACACAAAGGGATCAATTCTTTAATACATGATGTTGCCTCAGGGCTGAAGCACCATAACTCTTTTAAGAAGCCACACAAACACTCTCAGGCCACATCCGAAGTCAAAAAAGGGAACCCACAGGCCGCTATTACTCATTTTACTAATTTTATTATCCATACCGTTTGCATCTTCCCCTTTTGCTAACCTCCCAGCCAGGATTTGTCTGCTTACTCAGTGCTCCGCGTGTGGTCTGGGAGAGAGAACGCCCAGGCAGTGGAATCCAAACTCCTCACCGGGCTCCTACAAGACTCTCCTGGATCTGACCCCTACCTGCTCCCCTACTTCCAGCTGCATTCCCCTTGCGTCAGCCTCTCTGACCTTTGGATTCCTCCAATCAGCCAACCCTGCTCCAGCCTTGGGGGCTTCACCTTTCCTGGTCCTCCTTCCTAGCAGATCCCTCCTTCGGAGCTCCCCATGACCAGCCTGGATCCTCATCCTTGTACTCCTGTGTCTTTCCTCAGAGAGACTTTCCTGACTGCCCTAATTGCAAGTCCCCAAGCCACCCCGCCCGTCACGTTACTGCTAACAGCACTCTCTGAAATTATTTCCATATTGTTTCTCTTACTAGGAAACTACTCGAAGGCAGGAACCTTGTCAATATTGTTCACCGCTGTATCCTCAGCACCTAAAAACTACCTGTCGCAGCAATGAATAAGTGGAATGAATGAATACCTGAGGACTGTCTTCTTGGGGAGCACTCTGGCTTAGAAATAGATAACAGTTTGTCAAGCAAAAGCACGTTAACAGCGTTTTTTATCTGACTGCTGAATTGTTGGCCTCCTACTAATCTCTGGAGTAGACAATCACAGGATCCCCGGCGAGCCCAGGCGCGAAAACCTAAACCCGCAAGACCATTCCACGGCTGTCGGCGTGCAACTGCGGCTGCGCGGAGCGTCGGGAGGGGCGTGGCCAACCCCTTTCTCCGGAAGTGGGTCCAGAGCCGGCGAGAGGATGCGGCGGGCGGGCTAGAGCGGCGCCGGCCGGGCGGGTGGGGCGACCGGATCATGGAGGCCGAGCAGAGCTTCTCAGATATCTGCGGCGGTCGCCTGGCTCTGCAGTGCCGCTACTACTCCCCATCCTGCCGGGAGTTCTGCGTCAGCTGCCCTCGGCTTTCGTTGCGCTCGCTCACCGCTGTCACCTGCACCGTGTGGCTAGCGGCCTACGGACTCTTCACCCTGTGCGAGGTAAAGGCTGGTCGGCCCCTCCCCGCGGTCGGAGTTGGGGGCTTGGGTTTGGAAGGGCCTTTGGGGTCTTAGGGTCGAGCCCGGACCTCTAGCCGAACCCTCCTAACGTCGTAGGGCCGGAGGGCGAGAAGTCGCTGGTTCTGGGGACGCCATTTCGCTGCCGGACAGTTCTTTTCATTACGTTTACTGAAGTTTGTGCTCGTGTACTTTACCCCTGTCTGGGGTCGCTACCATGCTCTGTGGTTCCACCCCGCATACCTGTTGTCTGTGCCCGACAGCCTAAAACTTTAACTTACACGTGCTCTGAGTCCATGCTCATAGTAATTCAGTTTCAAGAGTTCAGAGAACTAAGTGGCTCGTCCTCATCCATCACTTCCACTCCTCAGAGGAATCACTGCTAACAATGTCTTATATAGTCTTCTAGAAACTGTCTTTGCCTCCACAATGTGTGTGCGTGTGTATATACACACACACACGAGTTATTGAAGAGCTTGATGGCAGCTTTTTTGGTTCTTCCTAATCTCTGTTTTTCAAGGCAATTTACCCCTCCCTTCCCAACTTCAAGTTCTTTCCAAAGAATTATGAAATTTCAGAGATGAGTGCTTCCTATGCTCAGTTTCCAGACTCAATCCTATTTTCGGAGCCTCAGTTTTTCACATATCTCTAAAGTGGAATTAATATCTGCCATGCCAGCTTCACAGTATAGTGAGGGTCACGAGGGATAGCTTTGTGATAGACCTCAAATAAAACGAACGATCCTAATTGCCCTTTTCAGGATGAGTTTAGTTTCATATATGGTGCCTTGAATTGAATATATTATTCTAGGAGTGATCTGACCAGAACTAAGTGCAGCAGGGCTATTTATTTCTATAATTTGGATATTGTTTCCATTAGTGCATCCCTTAGCTTTTTTCCATCAGAGCCTATTTGAGAGCATGGTAATTTAGCATAGATATATGCAGAATTAAGACTGCCCTAATTTGTACCAAATTGTATTGAAAAGTTTGTTCGTAAGTCAGTTGAAATGGCTCAGTTGCCAGGATAGTCCTTCCCCCTCAAAATAAAAAAGATTTAATTTATAATATAGTTGAATTTTAAGACTAGCCTGCGTTCTGACCATGTGCTTATGTGAGGAGGAGGGAAACGATAGTTTATTAAATGCCCACTAATTGCCAGCTGCTTTACTGAATGCCTCCTTTCAACTTTAGAAGAAAAGGAAAGCTCAGAAAGAGTAAACTTATCCGAAATCACAAAGCTAGTAAATGGCATATCTGGGCTTCAAACCCAGGCCTGTCGGACTCTGAAACCCTTTCTTTTCCACTATATTATGATGTCTCCTCCTTGGGGAGGGCTTGCTTAGGCAACCTTTTTAATTAGGAGAAGTTTGTTTTTATGCCAGTTCCTTTTGTACTCATCTCTCTCATCCTAGTATATCCCACTTACCCCCATCGAGCGCCTAGGACTCAGTAACCTCATCTTCCTTTAAACTCCACTGTGACACCTAAGGGCTCTGTGTACCAAAATTTCTTATCTTTCCCCCCCATTCAAAACTATTCGTCAGAGTAATGAATCTCAGCTAGGAGTGAGAAGAAATCTCATGAGGAGTTCATTAAAACGTGGCTTAACTTCAACCCAAATGAATATTGAATTGTTAGAATTTCAGACAGAAGAAGGAAGTATAAAAAATGCAAGTAGTAATGAAGTTTTGGGCAGGGATTACCTTATTGAAAAGCTGATATGGATCAGATTCTCTAGGCATTTACTGTTCTTTATCCCTTCTTTCCTTCCAGTTTTTGAATTCACAGTTCTGTTAAAATTCCAAGTTTTTACCTTATTTATTCCAACATGGAATGTTCTTCCCCCTTTTCTCAACTAAGTATATCTGTCAATAGCCGCCACCTCCTCTGCACCAATTAAATTCTGCTTCCTTGGAAGTCTTCATGGGATATTCCTGTGTGCTTTAATCTTTCTCTTTCTGGCTCTCTCTTTTAACCCTTTCTTAGGCACTTATTGTCAGTATCATGGTATTCTCCCAAAATATTTTATATGTATTAGTCTTGCCTCTAATAAATCTGTAAGGGCCAGAACTGAATTTTATTTCTCTCTATCCTTCCATAATGCTTATTCAGTTCAGACTATGTACAAGATACTGTACTAGATACTGGGCATTTAAGTAACTCAAAGTAGATATTTCTGGATCATCAGAGACCCAGCACATAGATTTCTCCATCCTCCATTCATTGATCAACAAATAATTATCTAGCACAGAAGTCAGCAAACTTTTCCTTTAAAGGCCAAATAGTAGATATTTTAGACTTTACAGGTCTCTGTCTCATATTCTTTTGTTTCTTTTTCTTTCTTTTTTTTAAACAACACTTTAAAAATTGTAAAAACCATTCTTAGCTCAAGGTGGACCAGACAAAAACAGATCTCAGGCCCAAATAGTTTGCAGACCCCTGATCTAATACTTACTATGTGCTAGGTAGAAGAAAGTTGAAAGGTACTGTCAAAGAAGACCAGAGCCGGTCAGTAGTTAAGGCAGTAAAAACAGATTTTATTCAGAAACCAATGCAGTAGGAGAAGAGAGACCTCAGTATAGAATTGGGCTCAATTCTGAATATAGCACGGACAAGTGGGAATTTATAGCCAAGGAGCAGGAGGGGGTGGGTGGGGGTAAAGAGAGATTTTGGCTAAACTGACCTGACAGGATTCTTGCTGAAGGCAGGCCAGGGTGATCAGATAGCAAGAGTGGGGGTTCTCTCTAAACTGACTTAGCAAGATTCTTGCTACAACTTGTTGGGCAGTGCAGGCCCAACAAGGATGGAAGCCAAGGCTGAAGGTTTAGAAGAGCTTGACTAGAGTTAGGTCAAAGAGGGCATCTTATCAGTAATAAAGAATAGTAAGACACTTCCTTCCCTCAAGGAATGACACTCGTAAATTACTGAATCTCTTGATTCTAGATCATCAAGGATTTTTTTTTCTGTGCCATCCTTCTAAATAATAGCTTTTTGGAAAAAAAGAGAAAACAATGCCACATGAAAGAAACATACATCAATATAAAACACATTTCAACTTCAGAAATGTTAAAAGGTTGTAAATGTGTCTTAGAATCAAAGGAATAAATACCATTTTTTGAGCCCTTAATACATTAGTTAGTCATTTCAGTTAGTCAGTCAGCCTGCCTTAACACATGATTTAGTCACAACCCAAAATAATGAAAAGAGCCCTATATGATAAGATCTTTATTATTTAACAAAACAAGAATTCAGGAAGTAGGAGGACTCTAGAAGTGACTCAGTTGCTTTTGGTTCTTTTCATCTTACTGCTTCCACCCTTGGTGTACTCTACTTGTCCTCAGCCTAGCTTTCCATATGGTCCGGCAGAGACTGTAGTAGTTACAGGCATTAAAACCTTTGTATGAAGGGGCCTTCTCTTCCAAAGATCTCTTTTTAAGATGGACTTATTTTTCCAGAAGACCTCCCCTCACATCTCATTGCCCGGAGTTGTCTGTGTCCATTTCTAAACCAATCATTGGCAGAAGGAGTAGGAACCAATCATGATTCACTCCAAGTTCAATTAGGAAGGAGGAGTGGCTGTTGAGTATTGTCTCCTACACTGTGCTAAGCATTTTATTGTTCAGTCTATGATTTTGCACTATATAGTCTACTAATGGAGTGTGAGAAGAAAAGATCTGAGTCCTTAAGTTGCAATTTTGGAAGAGAAACCTCAAGAGTGGTGTAATGGTGGATGTTTTCCTGATGGAGGTTTTCCTCCCCACACTTATCCATTATTTGTGTGGGTGTATTTCATCACATGCTTTCATAGCACTTCAGAGCCCAAATAAAAGTGATTTCCTCTTCCTCCATGGATGTTCCTCCCATCTGTTCAACTCAAAGCAAAACAATGGGTTTTTTTCTGCATTGCCTGGAGTTGATGTATTAAACAGCAGATATATGTGGAGGACCATTTGGTAATCTTACCGCCTGTGTCTGGCTCTCTCTTTAGAACAGCATGATCCTCTCTGCTGCCATCTTCATCACCCTCTTAGGCCTGCTTGGTTACCTCCATTTTGTGAAGATTGATCAGGAGACTCTCTTAATCATTGATTCCCTTGGCATCCAGATGACTTCATCTTATGCCTCAGGCAAAGAAAGTACCACCTTCATTGAGATGGGCAAGGTGAAGGATCTTGTCATTAATGAGGCTATTTACATGGTAAGTATTTAAGTGGTAAGTATTACAGGCCTCTCTGGAGGAGGCAGCCTATGGGGTATGCCTGGATCTGAACTGAATCTTAATACCTAAAGTATTTGATGTCACAGAATTAAACTTGAGGACTCTCTGTTCTAGTACTTGCAGTGTTTCCCTTTTAGCTGGCATATCTATAAACGATAAAAGAAACGTCCCTTTATTTTTAAAGAGATGCAGTGGGTTTTCATGGATAGGGAGTCAGCATTTCAACTTGTTTCTAACCCAGCTTCAAAATTATCTCTGGTTGTTGTTTTGTCTCTTTTCATTTAAAGAATGAGAATATACTTCTCCCTCACTTCAAAAGCTATCAAGTGTTCTACTACTTAGAGATAACCATTTATGAAAAAATTTTGAGCCATCCCTTGAAGAAAAAGAAAACAAAATGAGTTTCACTTAGATCTCTGCTATCTGGTTTATTTTCTTACAGCAGAAGGTCATTTACTACCTCTGCATTTTATTGAAGGATCCAGTGGAACCACATGGGATATCTCAAGTAGTACCTGTCTTCCAGGTGAGCACCGAACACTGAAGTTTCTTCTCCAAAGAAGTCCTCCACCTTTCCCCTAGTCTGCATATCCACTGCTAGTTATGTTCAGTAGGAATGTGAAACTTTTGTTGTGAAGAGTAAAGTATTTGAGGATACTTGACAGCTATTTTTAGTGAGAATTAGGATTTTAGTTATTTCAGAAGTTCCTTTCTGAGGCAAATATAGGCTTCCAGAAATATTACAAATTTATACATATTTTAGAGAAAGAATAAATATATAGCAACTTCTGCCTATAAATTACCATTCATCTACTTTGACTCTGTCAGTCTACCATTATATGATTTTACATAGATGGTATTGATCTATACATACTGTTATACACTATTTTGTATCTTGCTTTTTAAATCTAATATGCATATTTTCATGCATCTACAAAGGCCATTATACTTACTATTTTAAATAATTATATCATGTCGAGTATCAGTTTATTTAGCCACTCTATTGCTGGTTTTTGAAATCATGCCCAGGTTATTTTTTGCTTTGCTCTTATAAAACAACACTTATACAAACATGATGATAATAAATTACTTTATAGGTATATAAAGTATTTATGTATGCAGTTAACTCTGCCTCACTGCACTTCTCTTTTCACAAAGGATTTAAGGCAGCTAAGCTAAAATTCTTTTGCATTATAGTTCAATTATTTTATTAAAGCTTATGAATAGTTTCATAGAGTTTTACAGTGTTTCAGATTTGGCTCCAGAGATTGGACAACGTTACCATACTTTGGGGAATTTGTACTTGTTTTTCTACAGTCTTGGTTAACAGTGGGTTTAGCTATTTTTTAGTTTAGTATGTAGGTAAGGGAATTTAAAGTTATTAAATTTGTATCTCTTTAAATGACAGAGACTTTTCTTACTTCCTTTTAAGTATTACCTAGCAGTATTTCCACTTGTTTTAAACTATTCCTCTCCTCTATTAATCAAGTAGAATCTAAATATTGATTATGCATTTGTAACTATTTATATATTTTAGGTAGTAAACTTTTATTAAATATGCTTTCCACATATATTTTTCCCATTCTGTGGCTTTTCTTCTTTTTTTTTCTTTCTCTGCTTTTTTCTCCCCAAATCCCCCCAGTACATAGTTGTATATTTTAGTTGTGGGTCCTTCTAGTTGTGGCATGTGGGACGCCGCCTCACCGTAGCCTAATGAGCAGTGCCACGTCCACGCCCAGGATCCGAATCATGGAAGCAGAGTGCGTGAACTTAACCACTTGGCCACGGGGCCGGCCCCTCTGTAGCTTTTCCTACATATGAAACTGCCCTTATTGTCCCTGAGGACTGTTTCACAGCTTGTGACGTTTCCTGAGAGGGTCTGTCCTTATTATTCCTCTTGCTTGCTCTTAGGTGGAGGTCATGAAGTTTAGACAGATTAAAAACTGTCTTTTGAGCTTCACACAGTTGACAGGCTGGGCTGTGGGCTCAGTCTGGGACTCCTCCCAGAAAGATGCTGTGAGGCCTGAACTTCTGCCTCTCTGACTCACACTCATGCCAGTTAGACCCCTGGATGTGGGTGAGAGATTGAGGTTGCACATGGAGGCAGCACCACTAGGCACTCTATTACATTCATCCCGACTCTGCATTTCTCCCCTTTGGAATTCAGAGTGCCAAGCCCCGGCTGGACTGCTTGATTGAAGTCTACAGGAGCTGCCAGGAGATCCTGGCACACCAGAAAGCCACCTCAGCAAGCCCGTGAGTCCCAGCATTCAGAAGGCCAGTATTGTCTTCCATGGGAGATGACTCCTAAGCCATAGTGGCTGGTTTATTTTCTGTATTCTAAGCCATCAGATGGACACAGTCCTAGGAACCAGTATGGATGCAGTGGATCTCAGAACCATAGAGAAGGTGACTGGAAACCTAATTCACTGTGTGATGTTGAGCCAAGTATTTATTTGTATTTTAGCGTTCCCCTTATAAGGTTTTGCCTACCTTACCAACTGAGGAGAGACCTTATGAAAGGATATGTCAAAAGTAATGTTCACAAAGCACTTTGTAAAATTCCTAAGCACATTCAGGTTTACTTTCTGTTTAAATTTGTGGAACAAGACAATGGGAAACTGATATCAGATCTCTTGAGAAAGATAATTTCCAACTGCCTAGTACCTCTGTATAGAAGTTAAGAAAAAAAGTTCTTCGGGTACTGGTTAGCAGGAAAAAGTATCCTACAAGAGACTAGTCTCTGGCCACCCAGCTCCTGTTTTCTGTACAGGGTTAATTTATGACAACTTTCTTAATAAACAGATCTCCTTCCAAAACATACACGATAATTGCCTGATTCACAGACAGCTGCTTTTTATTGACAAACATGAAGGTAGCATTTCAGTCCTGGGTGTCAAGCACATTAATACCCTTCCGTTACGCTGCATTGTCTGTGGTTTCAAAAACTTCTTTTGCCAAGAGGGATGAGACAAAAGGCCAGACAGAAATTCAACTTTGGTTTCCAGACACGTTAAAGAAGGATACACACACAAACTACAGAAGGCTTTGTTTATAAGGCAGTTTCTTCTGTATAAAATTAATAAACTTTTAAGGGAGGATTCCTGAAGGGTTGGGAAGGAGATAGGGTGAGGGAAATAGCTTAACCCCCAAATTCAGTATGAACACAGCTCCATCCTCACTTTTTTGTGGGGATCATATATTTTTTTAAAACTCCCAGGTAGATAACATCCTCATTGACCATAGGGACATTCAGGATGTTACAAAACCAGAGCTGTAATTTCTGCCTTTTACACCAGCCCCAGAGGGGTTATTGAGGAACCTGTGGGACATGTGACATGTGACTTGTTCGAGGTAGAAATGTCTCAGCTAGATCCCAAATCCTGGGTGGAGGGCAGGAACAGAAATGGGAGATAGCTGTAAAACTGCCAGCCTTGCAAAGTCAAGTTCATTTAAAAGAGGCAGACACTCTGTTGTGCTTTTTTTCATCATGCTTGTCAGTTTAAAGAGTGAGCGGGGACACTTACAGCAGCTGAGGTGTTCAGATAAACTAGTTCCAGCCTTGCAGTTTTTGCAGTGTGCAACACACACACACACTTTGTTGGGGTTAAAGGCTTGCTTCTTGTATGCTAAACTCATACAGTTTTCAGCACTGTATTGACAAATGGTAAGACTGCCTTAGGGCTATGAAATAAAACAGTTTCTCCAATCTGGGAAAATCAGAGTATGAATGAACTCTTTCGTCTTTTTTTTTCCTGTTAGGGGAGGGCAGAGACAAAGATCACCTCCTCTGACTCAACAGAAGGTCTCAGTTGAGGTTGAGGGGATGCTGGTATCATCAGGAAGACAAAAGGTGAAGGAAACTTTCTGTTTCTTTTACCTGATGCTCTTAGGCTAGGACAGATACCACATATGTGCCCTCTGCCCTCGAACTAATTCCAGCGGAAGTTCGCCAGAAGTCTTGAAGAGCCCAGGTGCCTGGAGGGGTCTTCTGTTTCTGACTCATTTTTGGTGGCCTCACAGAGCAGCAAAAAGCAGAGCACATTTGCTTGGTCTTTCAAAGAGTGGGGGAAAAGTGATGACCACCTCGTCCTACAGTAGTGAGCACAGCCTTCACTGAGCCCTGTCCAGTCATTAAATGAGACAGGGAGAGGTCAGGATGGACCTACCCCTTGCCCTTGCTTGTACTCAGTTGGGCTGACAGTCCAGTGTGAGGGAGATCAGCGTCAGTCTCAGCAGGGACAGCGTCTTGTCCTGCAGTGATAGGAGCTGCTGCCCCAGAAGGGGCACTACAAAACTACAAGTGCCTATTCGTTTGCAGTAGGGGAAGGGAAAGGAAGCCCAGTTTTAGTGAGTTCTAGGCCTTTGTCAGAGTTCAGGTGAACGGAAAATTTTAGTCCTATGCTGTTCAGGGATGTTGGGAAAACTTCAAGTATAAATCCCCACATAAGGACCATATACGATATAAAAAGCACTGGCCTCCCTGAGAGTATCAGTGCAGAAAGCCCTGACTCACAGCATTGAGGCCCTCAGGAACCTGTTTGTTCCTGGAATTAGAGAGCATCCAGAGCTCAGTATTCTTGGGAAAAAAAGTTTTTTTTTTTACTGGGTCTGGATTTTTAAAAGTTGGGCCCTGAAACATACTATAAGGCACCTAGAGAGTAAAGGCTTCAGGGACACTAAAAGACACATTTCACAGAACGAACCGGGGCTGGGGTGGGGGTGGGGGGTTGCAGGGAGGGCTGTTAGACTCATCACAGTAGTATCTTTCCCCAGGATGCACATCTCTAATCCTAGAGGCACCAGGTGGGGGGGGGAGGGGCAGGAGGAATATTCACAGCAATGTTGGCCCCTTGGCAGCTCGTGGAACAGAAGGAAAGAACTGTTGTCCATCCAGTTCCCACGGCTGGCGGGCAGCAGGCGGGCTGGTGGGTGGGTTCACAGTTGCAGAGCAGTGGTTCATGTAGCTGGCCATGATGAAGGTTGCCTCTGCAATCTAAGGAGACAACAGAGAAACCAAGGAATTGAACTAGCCTTGGCTTGAATTGTCACTTTCTCACTAGCTGTTATGTTGGGTACATAACCTCCCTCGGGTTCAGTTTCTTTCTCTCTTAAAATACCCACCCAGGAGAAAATGTCCAAAGGGGATTATTACTGTGAGGTTCAGAGGCCCAATGAAATGGGCACCTGTTGGTCTGGAGGTCCTCTGAGATAGACCATACCCCGCCCTGAGGACAGGAAGAGCAATATTCCCCTCTGGTTATCTCCAAGGGGGCATCCCTGGAGGAAGGGAAGGGCTCTGGATATCCTCTCCTTTGGCAGAGGTGGTATTAAAAGGAGAAAGAGGTTTGGCAAACTCTAACTTTAGGATTGAAACAACAGGGTTTCCAGTTACTCAGAAGGGAGTCAGGAACTATAAATCAAAATTTAGGTTATTTTTGCTAGTCAGCATTCTCTGTACTGAGAAGGAACAAAGCCTTTAAAGCAAAAGAGGTCTTTGGACCATTTTCAAGACCACAAGGAAGGGGGAGCATGTGCAGATTGTCCCACTTTGTGACTAGTTTTGGCACTGAGGAAAAAGCTGCCCTGGCCCTGGGCCTGCTGCAAGGAGGGGAAGGACGGATGGGCACCTGACTCAAGTCTGCATGGCTCGGGCTTGAGAGAACTCAAAAAGACAATGTGAAGCGCACAGGAGTAGGTGGACCAGAGTGAGTTCCCCACCTCAGCCAGCCCCTCATCTACCAGCTCGACAGTGACTGCTGAGATGAGACTCCACCTGAACCCTTTGGAGCACTGACTATAGACAAGGTGACAAGTTTTATTTGAGACAGGGCCCTTCTAGAGTACTGTCATAATTCCATAATTCCAGCTTCCTTTCTAAGCTCCCAAGCCTGCCTCATCATACCAGATCAGAGTAAAATGTTTTAGCAGCTGTCAGACCCACCTTGGGAGCAGCCATCCGGAAGATCAACTTCTCAATGTGACCTTTTCCAGAGCTGTGGTCTGGATTGGATCTAATCACAAGCATGAAGTCATCCCGACAACCACCAAAGGTCATCACGGAAGAGTAGGGATAAGTGACATGCACTTGCTGTGGGAAAGAGCCAGTTAGTTCTGGGGAAACTTTCCACCTGCCTCCTGAGCCAGGAGCCAGCAGCCCCTGCCTCTTCTGGGCACAGGAAGCCTTAACCAGGAAGGGAGAACTCTAAAGTGGCCATAATTTGGAGATCTACATCTTGAACGTCTATAAGCTTTGTCTGGAGGACAGCAGTGCTTGGGTGGGGCGGGGGTGGGGTAACCATGGTCACTTAGCTCAGGCCTTTGAGTCCAGAGAGGAGAAGAAAAGACACTGTTCAGGAGAAGGAGGGGTCAGGGAGCCAGCCCTCATCATTCCATACCATAGTCTTGTGGTCAAGGATGCTGACACCATCCTCATTCACAGCAATCCACACCAGAGCATTCTCCTTGGAAGACAGCTGTGCAGGCTGGGGAAACAGGAAAATCCCATCAGACATATCCATAGCTAGATTCTGAACCATAAGAGCTTTCTGAGGAAGAAGGCACATCCAGGGATCTGCTAGGCAGTAATTTCCAACCTTTTCCTTATCTTGGAAAACATAAAAGATGGTATTTGTACAGCATGCTAAAGCAAACAGGAGGCATCTGGCCTTGGGGCTCTGGCCACCTGTGAACTATCCTGAGGAGGGAGGGGATCACTTTCTTGGAGAACCTATAGCCCACCCTGCCATAGGACATTGGTTGGGAAGCTCTGTACTGCAGAACAAAGGCCAGCCCTAGCGGCTCTGTCACAGGCATGGAGAACAGGCTGTTTTCTCCTAGCTCTCAGAAACTGACAGCGTTCCACCAAGGTCTTTCCCAGCTGAAGTGCGTGTTGCTTCAACCAATTTCCTAGGGACTGTAAAAGAAATAGGAAAGCAAGAATGTAATCTTATGGGCTTTAGGCCCTACCAGGGAGCAAAGTGACCATTTGGTGGACAATTCCTGGAATGACTAATTTTCCCAGCCAGGGCTGCAGTAGGGCAATCCAGATTTCCTCTCCCTCCTACCCAAGAGGCTGGGGAGAGAGACGGACAGACAAGTCACCTTCTTCAGAAACTCCCCAACCTCCCAGACCAAGCAGGTCCCCCTGTTATATGCCATTATAACATCCCTGTAGTTTTCCTTCATAGCACTTGTGACAGCTTGTAAAAGAATTTATTTATATTTAGGGAAAACATTTGTGATTATCTGGTTAATGTCTGTCTCCCCCACTAAATGCGAAGCTCCATGAAGGCAAGGACTGTGTCTGATTTACTCACCTCCTGTAACCTCAAACAACCAGCACAAAGGCCTGAGACACAGTAGGAGCTCAACAACTTTTTTTCTTAAAGATTGGCACCTGAGCTAACATCTGTTGCCAATCTTTTTTTTTCTTCTTCTCCCCATACCCCTCCTCCCCGCCGGAACATGGTTGTATATTCTAGTTGTGAGTGCCTCTGGTTGTGCCATGTGGGACACTGCCTCAGCAAGGCCTGACGAGTGGTGCCATGTCCACGCCCAGGATCTGAACTGGCAAAACTCTAGGCTGCCCAAGCAGAGCATGCAAACTTTACCACTCGGGCATGGGGCTGGCCCCAACAATTCTTTGCTGAATGAATGAGTGAATGTCTATTGTCTACTCTGTACCTTCAGTGAACTGGATCATGATCCAACTTCAGGGACAGGATACTATGATTATGTATAAAGTTTGTGCACACCAGACACCCAGTGAAGAAAAGTTTTGACTGAAATCACTACCAGCCACCTGGCCTTCATGCAGGAGAAATTAACTGTTGCCTGTGCAGTTAGAGTCCCCTGTGGCCATGCCAAGTCAGTAGAGATGTATTTGTTTAGGTTATACATTATTCTATCTTTCAAATTTTTTTTTTAAATGGAAGCCTTCTTAAGCAGGCTATCAAGGCTGAACCCTTGTGTGTGAATTAGTTGATCCTATCTTTTTTTTCAGGGGGAGCATTGAGAAAGAAGTCAAAAAAGGAAAGCTGAGGGTCATTCAGAAATAATCCTGGCCCGAAAGCAATGATCACAACTCTGCTCTGGACCATGGAAATCTGGAGGCAGCAGAAATGGGTGGAGATAGTGACCCCTGCTGGCTTCTAGTGTGCAGGCAGGGCTGCAGCCTGGACGGGCTCAACCATGAGCAGATGGGGACAGCAGCTCCAGGAGAAATTTAGGGTGTGGTGACCACTGCTTGCTCTGGAAACCAGCAGCACTTACCTGAGCAGCAAAGAGCTTAGCACCAAAGAAAGGCCATTTCCGGGCCACTGTCAGGTAGATGCGGATGCACTCAGGAGGGGAGCAGCCTTGCAGAGCTGCCCACTTTGTGGTCAGCAGATCTGCCAGGTGCCTGGTTGGGATGGATGGAGAGAAGGTGCCAGTGAAGTGCCAACATGTTTTCATTGAAGCTGTGAGGCCTTCCCCAACTCTGCAGCCCAGGCCTCCCCAACAGGAACTACCCTCAAGACCCTGCAACCTACCTCAGCTGTTCAGGGGGTGCCTCGTGTCTGTAGCGCCTTGGGTAGAACCTGTCTAGGACTTGCTGGAGGTGATGCTGAGCCTTGGCAGGGGGTGTGCCCCCAGGGCCCGGCGGGATGGGCCTCTCCAAGTCCCCATACTCTACCTGTGGTAGAAGCATATGGAGGGACTGGTCAAGGATCTGGAGGTGGGTGGGGTGGGGGTGGGGCTGTTGGAGAGATGAAATAAACCATTACGTCATTACTTTATTGGGGGTATGTGAATGGATGTGAAAAACACTTCTTGTGAACAGACTTTACCTCAAGTTTCATCAATGCTAAATCCTAAGGTCCCAGAATGTTATAGATTGTCTAGACCTACTTTCATTTTGCAGCTAAGGTTAAGTGCCTTATCCAAAGACACAGTTAATCGGTGGCAGACAAGGGAAAACTATGTAGAAATTCTGGCTTCTGAGCCAAAAATCTGAGATACAGGATTGAAGATGCTATAGATCCTAGAGCACAGGAGAGTGTTCCAAACGTGGGCTTTGCACTCAGACACCCAGCTCAAATCCCAACTCTGCCATTTACCAGCTTTGTAATCCTGATCAAGTTACTTAACCTCGCTGAGCTTCAATTTCCTCATCTATGAAGTGGGGATGAGAACTAACAAGGATAAGACATACAAAATGTTTAGCACAGGGCCCTCTATAGAGTATTCAGTAAATGTTTATTATAAAGATCAACTATTATCATTTCCCCTTCCTCTGCAGCATGTAGATCCAGACTCTTTCTCACTGGAACCATGAAGGTATCCCAGATGCCTCTGGCAAGACGGCCTCCTAAAGGTCAGAGGGAGAAGAGTTGAAGTCTGACTGCATGTTCCTCCTCCTAATTACACTTATAATGTTTGACGGTTCTAAGTACAAATTTTATCACAATGTTATGTGATATACATCATTTAAGTATCATACTTAGTACTACCCTGTGGGGGCAGGCAGGGAGGCATTTTTGTCTTTAGTATACAGAAAAGGAAACTAAAGCACAGACAAGTAATGCGACTTGGCCAAGATTCACAGTGGGAAGGTGGCTAGGACTCAAACCAGGTCCCTGGATCCCACTTGCAGAGCTTTGCACATAGCCTGTATCTGCAGTGAGGAGCCCTGCTGGGTCAGGAGTCAGCTTCCCTTCACAGCAGGGACCGCAAGGTGGCCCTATTCTCGGGCACCACAGGATCTGCAGTCTCCAATGTTTCAGGCTGTGTGGTGCATTCCACCTGAGTCCAAAGGTGGTGTCCTGACCTTCTTGACTCCTGAGGAGAACCTTACCTGGGCCATCAGGGCAGCCATCTCAAGAGCCAGCTCCTTGTTGACAGGAAACCTCCCTGCCACTATCTCTCCACTAGTTTGAGAGGCGAGCAGCAGCCGCTCGCGCTCCGTCTCCCCTTTGACTTGGCTCCGAAAGTACAGCCTGCAGGGAAGAGAGTGAGAGGAAGCCAGAACTCAGCTGGGATCCCAACTGGATGAGGCCATCTCTGCATCTGTTTATCTTGATTTCCAGAGAAAGAAACTTCTCTTTTTATACCATTTGTGAGCCTATTTTCTTTTGCCTCCAGAAAAATTTAACCAAGCATGGCACAGAGGAGATACAGCACCAGCAGCACATGGTTAATTCTGAATACACCATTACCCTTAGGGGATGTGGTGAGGGAATCTGGTACCGGAATCACAGCTTACTAGGGAACTGGATGAGTTAAGATTCCAAGAGACTAATGGAAATTATTTGCCTGGGGACATATCTGGGATGGAATTTTCTTCCTCGAATTTATAAAAAGTCAGGATGTCTACTGTATTTCCCGGAATTGGTATAGAAGCCATTTACTCTTTAGCCTTAAATATCTAGTGCTCATACAAAATTTCACTGTCATAACATAACACATGCAGCCATCCCATAAGATTGGCCTGTTTTCTTGGCAGGTGTGTTGTGTGGGGGTGTGTACATGCAGTACATGGACTGAGAGCCTGAGCTGCCCAGGGTCTCACATAGGATCAGCAGAGCCATCCTGTGCCCCAAGTTAATGACCACCATGCAGTGTTGTATCTGTGGACCCCCTGCTTGTCCAGGAGAGGCCATCCAGTTGGGGAAGTGACAGATGGCACCCCAGTGGCAGCCCTCATGCTTGGCCCCACCCTTGGGCAGTGCTCAGGACCTGTTTTTGTACATCAGCTTCACAACGCGCGTGCCACCCTCAGACTTCCCCGAGTGCAGCTCCTTCAGGGCTTGTTCCCACCTGGAGATGGCATCGCAGATCTTGAAGAGGCAAAAGAGGAAAGTCAGAAAAGCCCCTGATGAGCTGGACTCTGGCAGAGCAGCCAGAGCAGTAGAGTTGAGTGACTGTCCTCCATCAGGAGGCTGACCTGCAGGGCCTCATGTTCCTGGGACCCAAGGTCCTTACAGTTCACTCACAGACAGACAGACAGGTGTAGCCTGTGCATGGCGTGAGTGGTAGAGCATGGAACGCTGCCTCCACTGGCCCAAACACCTGAGGGGCCTCCCAGGAGGCTAGGCAGGCCTCAGTCAAAAACCAGGGCCTCACATCACTGGCTCTGCTTCCATTCCCCTGACGGCTATTCTCCTCTTCAACAAATACACCCAGAGGCCTACTGTGTAACAAAGACTTAAGAGACACCTGCACATTTACAAAGAAGATATAGGGCATAGTTTTTCCAGGCAATGGTAAAAGACTATAGAAGCCTTTGTCCTGTTGCCATAAAGAAAGCAGACACTGGAGCCAAAACACTCATGCTCCTCAGGTGCTACAGCACATTCCCACAAACACTTAACACCCCCGTGGCACTAATACCAGACCACGTATGTGCAAGACAGGCCTTAAATCCCTTTCAAGGGCCTTTACCTGCAGAGGTACTGTAAGGATCTACCTCCTTAAAATGTGGTTGACCCTGTAAGCACAGCATACATGGTAAAATAGGTGCCAGTGTACAACATGGCGTCCAGTGGGCCTGGGCATAACAGTTGTCCACCCACACCCGTGTGTGCGTAACTGGCAGCAGGTTCGTTTGGGGCTGCTGCTGAGAAGTGCCTCTCTGTCCTTCTGACACTGAGCTGAGAAGCAGCTTTCCCTTGGATGCTGCTCAGCCACTCAAGGGAGGAGGGATCTGGGGATCTTCTCTCCAGAGACAAGGGCCCAAACAACTTTTCTCTGCCTATATGGGTGCATTTTAGTTTGGCACAGAAATGCTGGCCAGGGGAGCATCTTGGGCTCAGCACCAAACAGGCTGTGGAATAGTCAGGCACCCACCAGATGGGCTCTTTCCCCACCACCAAAATCCCAAAGCCCCAAGGTGGCTCAGGAGGGGCTCAGCTGGCCTAGTGGGAAGGCCATCACCTTGACGCTCCCCTGCAGGCAGTGTTCCAGGTCCCTGCCAGAAGGATCGTCCGTGAAGAGGGCAAAGCCAGAGTGGGATGACTTTCTCATGCCTGTCTCCTGGTTCAGCCGCTGGAGGAACTCATCAACTGTGGAGGAGCCGTCGAAACCGACCACCTGCAGGGGAGAGGTGTTAGTCCCAGAGGGCACTTCCCGAGTGGGGCTCATTAGGACTAATGGAGGGTCTGAGTCCGGAAGGTGGAAAGATTTGGCTGAAAGGAGCAAGGGCGAATGCAAAAGCCAAAGACAGTTGGTTTCCATATCCCCATGCAGAGGCTGAGTGTGTACGATGGGCCTGCCCACTGTGACCAGGAGTCGGACATAAGCTCTGCTCCTCCTTCACTGTCACTCTTTCAGAGGCCCTTTCTCATGCCACTTTCTTGGTCAGTGTCTCAGCTTCCCTGTTAATGCAGTGGGTTCAAAGGATCTATTTCCCAGGCACCAGACAGTGGAGCACTTTTGTGTTTCAGACTCTCTTCTCCCTCCACACTGGCGCTAACGACCCCCAAACTGGCCTCAAATCCCAGGCCCATCCTTTTGCTGGTTTGCCTATTAAGAATCGGCCAAGCCTAAGGAGGCTTAGCACCCACCTGGCCCAAAGGTGTTCTCCTCTGGGATGGTAAGATGAGAAGACTCGGGACAGAGAGCACGCCCAGCCTCCTCACCTGGTAAGTCCCATTGGCGAAGTGCACGGGGATGCTGAAGGGCAGGGAGTGGTGGAAGGGGTTACGCAGCAAGATGGACACCACTTCCATGCGTGACGGCCTGGCTTCCCGCTCCCCAGTCTGCAGGGTCCGCTCCACTGCTCGCTGGCAATAGGTGGCATACTGGCCAGTTTCATTTCTAAAAAGACAGGTGAAAGAAAAAGGGAATACTAGGGAATCCACTCATCCCTGCATCCTGCTCCTTACCCAGACCAGCCAGGACAAAACCTGCAGCTGGGAAGGCTGTGAAAAAGCCCTGAAGACTTGGGTCTCAGGTGTTAATTTGTCATTCAGGTCTTAGATGCTGCAGGTTGCTGGCATGGATATTTTCTCCAGAAGCCAGAAAAGCATGGCAATAGAGAATGAAAACTTGGGGACAATTTGGGGGTATTGTAGCTTCACGTCAGAGTCCCCACAAAACATCCATGTGTAGCAGGATTGGTATGCAGAGAAGCCCAGGCATGCCCAGATCTCCACGTGCCCATCTGTGAACACAGCAGTGGGTGAGGTCTCTGTGACCACGGAGCTCATCTCAGTGGGTAGGGATGACCTGATCCATCCTAGTCTTCCCCCATCCCTCTCAATCGTGCTACAGTAGGTAGTGCTGGAGTAGCAGTGGAAATGATGCTCACATACCTGGGATCTGCATGGCGCTGGAGCTGCTGTTTCACATACCAGAGGAAGTGGTGCTGAGGCAGGAAAAGTGGGGCACACAGAGCCAGGAGCTGCCAGCACTGTCAGGGAATAAGCAGTATAGGGTGAATGCTGGGTCTGCAGTGCCACCAGCCCTCACAGTCCTGAGCCACAGAGCCTTCAGTCCTCTGTCTCCAAACCAGAGCCCCGAACCTTCTGTGGATACCAGCATGACCAACTTAGTCAGGCTTTGTCCAGACTAGCAATCACACAATCTGACTGTGCACACACATCCAGAAGGGGCGCAGAGAGGGCAGCTGTGCCAAGGCAGCTTTGAGCACTGAGGCTACCCACTGGATACTAGGCTCACAGGATACCTGCCCGGTCACCTCCTTCCACCTTTCCCTCCTCCTGGGCAGCCTCTGCCAATGGCTCCTGTCAGCTGTTCTGCCCCATGGGTGCCCACCTGCATGAGGGAGTGCTTCTGAGGTGGGCGGCAGCTGGTCTGCTTCATGAGTTGGCAGTAGATCTCACTCTGCAGCTCGGGGTGAACCAGGCAGACCTGCAGTGCTGTCTGGGCCAGGGACACGTGGTAGTCCACCGAGGCGGCTTCCACTGGCACATTGATGAAGAGCTGGCAGGACTGGCAGGGAAATGATGGTGGGCACAGTCCCTTGGTTATCATCCTCTGTGACAGTGGACAGACTGCGTGCCCCCAGGGCTCATGGAAGGCTCCAGTTCATGACAGAAAGCCCTTTCTAAGAGGGAGCATTTTCATTGCTTGATAGCATCCATGCTTGCTGAGAAGGCTACTTTTGGATAGAATCTTTCCTTCTCTAAATGTTTCCATTACATAAAAGCAAGACATTTTCATTTTTTTAAAAAAATAGAATATTCAGACGGGCACAAAGAACATTCTAAAATAGGTCAGAATCTCTCAGGTCCAGAAGCAACATAAACCTGGCCTTTCCTGCTGTTTGCTACAGGAGGAGGGCGACTCCTCAAGGAGAGTCACTGGAGCTTCCCAAGGGCTTGTGGATGAAGTCACTGAGCTTCCGGCCTCCCTGCTATAAAGAACGTGCTGGGGACGCTGTGGGATTCTCTTTCCCTTCCTCTTCAGATCCCTCTGTGGGCTTCCCCCTAACTGCCTGGGTCCCCTCTACCCAGGTATCACCACAGTGGGCAGAACTGCTCCAGGCAGAGCCTGGGCACATGGCAAGGGTGCCCCCAGCCAGTGGGCCTGGGCTCCGCTCCCACTTTACCTTGAAGAGCTTGAGGGCCTCCGTCTGCAGGGCCTCGGAGGGCAGGGTAGTGAGGGACGTGTACAGCCCGTCTTTGCTGTAGCACAGCATAGGATGCTTCCAGAGGGGGGAATCTGCCCAGAGCACAACACCAGAGAGGTGGCAGTGAGCACTGATGAGGGAACTCGCCTCCCACCCGCCCCCACTTTCATCTGTGGGGCAGACAAGGGTTTAACTGTCTGGGACACGTGGGTTGTGCTGGGTTTATGTCTGCAGTGTGGGGTATGCAGTTGTGCACTGCATTTAGCACACTCACAAGCATGGCTTACAGGAAGACAGCTACTGCTTTCCCCTGGGGCTGCAAAGGGGTGAGTGTGCAAGGCTGTGGGCAGCTGAGTGCAAGCATGTGTGTGCAGGGAGGTCTGGAGGGAGGAACATGTGTATCAGCCTGAACAAACAAGCCACAGAACAGCAGGAGAGGGTCAAGTGTGGTGGGTGCTGTTAGTTCCTCAGGGTCCTGAGAATCAGTAGCAAAATAAACACCCAAAATGCCCCAGACTTAGGTTAGTCTGACCCCAAGTTAGGCTTCATTTATTGATTAACAAACTCTAACTAGAGATTAACCAGCTGCTTCCTTTCCTCAACTCTCTGCCCAGCCAGCAAAGTTGCAAGTCGAACAAAGTAAAACACTGACCCAGGTCTCCAGAAAGTCTGCTTCCCAGACAAACTCCCCTAGACACAGAGTGCTCACCTCAGTACCTTCACCAGAGGCAGGGGCCCTGCAGCCTGGGCTGGGCATGCCTTTCTGTGGCTTAGACAGTTTTAAAACAGCTTTGGAGTACAGTAGGGCTTTCTTTGGTTCTGGACCAACAATTACCCAGCCACCACCCTCCAACCCAAGCAGCGATGGCCACCCTTGCGTTACCTGGGTCTCCCTCACCATCCATCAGTTTTCCAATGAGCTGCTCATAGGCAGTGCCCACCTTGGCACTGGGGCCACCGGCAGCCACTGTGAGGTGGTAAAGCCACGTATCCTGGAAGAGGATGGAAGGCCATCTGATGTGGCTGGGTGGGGAGAATGGAGGCAAGAGCTCCAAGGAAGCTTCCTTGAAGGGGGCAAGCCCAGGTGGGGGTCAGCTGGTTTGGCTGACACAAGTCAAGGCCACCAGTCTCTAAAAGGAAAGACTCAGGATCAGGTGACCATGAACCCACGTTTCTATCTCATGGCCCCAGTGAAGACACATTGGTCACTGAGGGTGAATTCAATATAAGGAATATTCCCAACCAGGGATACTGGTTGCCAAAATGTCCAGGAGGGAAATAAACTTGAATTTTGGGAAGCTTGGGGGAAAGAGAGAAGGGAAGATCAGAACCACAGGTCCGAGCTTGGCCGTGGGGCCCAGCGCCCTCCCTTACCTTTTCATGCTTAGTGCCAATGAGGAGGTAGGTGGGGCTGTGCTCTGGGGGGTGGATCACCAGGGTGCAGTGGGAGGAAAGCAACCGCCCGGTTCCTCCAGCCTCATAGTCCTCGTCGGAGTCACCGGATCGATCTACTTCTTCTATGCGCGCATCCCGCACAGGCAGACGGCCCAGGGGTCGCTGTGGACACGAGCCTTCCATGAATGGAAGAGCCAGCAGGGGATAGGGGAGTCTCTTTTCTCTTCCTCTGACCCCTCAGGCCCTGCAGGGCTGTGTTCATGGACGGGGACAGATGAGAGGATGGGGAGAGGCAGACTACAGCTCCCTGGCTGAGGTTTGCTTGGGGAAGCACGGAAGACCACACAGGCAGAATCTGTGGGCCATGCACACTGGACATGCACTCTGGAGGCATGCAGACAGCTGGCTCTGTATTTGTTGTGGGGTTAAGTCGGGTAGAGGGTAAAGCTGGGGCCTTCCATCAGGACATGGAGCCACTGCAATGTGGTCTGGGGGAAGAAGAGAGTGGGTGCTGCTGGGAGCCAGGACATACCTTGTCCTCATGGCTCCGATAGTAGTAGAAGGTTCTCCCAACAAGAGCACACCAGACCAGCTTGGAGTGGCCATGTTTTACCTGTAAGACAGAAATGCACCAGCATTATCAGAACTAGGTGACCCCAGAAGTAAATCCAGGACTGGCAAAGAGAAGCCACAGAAAGGCAGATGTCAAAACCCTTGGTCAAACTCAGGTCCTTAGTGGAGATGCCACCCAGACTCCCTACTACGGGAACCAGCCCTTTCACAGCAAGAGGTCATGGTGTGTACCATGTGACACCCATCCATCTTTGTACAACCTGCCATTAAAAGATTAACCAGGCCAGTCAGATGTGCTGTCCCAGGAATGTGAACGTGGGAAGAACCTGCTAGTCCACAGAGTCTATAGCTATGCCGAGACGGACGCTGAGAGGGAGGGAAGGGCCATGCTGGACAAGGGTAAATCATGAGGGAACAGCAAATGCACAGGCAGAGCGGACTGACGTGAATGCAGACTGAGTCAGGAAGCAGAGGCAGAGAGAGCCCTGGAGCACTGAGCTTGCTCATAACAGTAGCTCTGCTTCCTGATGGCATGCTGGCTCTCTTGTTAACTTCCCTTGACTTGGGGTTAACAAGTGCTTCTCTGCTCCTCACAACCAGAAGAGCCCTAACTAAAATGTTCTTAGGGCTGGCCTAGGACATTATCAGTCTTTGAATGGCCACACCTACCTTGTCTAGGTAGCAACTTCCCACTATTCATACTGAGGCATGGTGGGTACAGGTGGGGGTGGGGGCAACTCCTAATGACCTCAAAGTGGGTATGAGACATTCCCTTCCCACCTCCGGCTTGAGAATAGCTATTGTTCTGACAACCCTGATCCCTATCTCCACGGAATCATTCACCATCACCTGTGTGGTTAGACCATGCTTGAGGCCAGCCAGCTAATCACTGGGAGAAAATTCCTGGAGAACCGAGCTGTGTGCAAGGAGGGAGACCCACCACCCCTTAGCACTTCTGCTCCTGGCTCCCCTGACACTCAGGAGGCCACATTCTCCCCCCACCAGCCCTACTCATACCTTGGTCAGCCAGCCCTTCACAGTGGGCTTGGTGCCAGCCTGAGGCAGGGCTGGAGGCCCAATGGCCTGGACCTTTAGCAAGCTCTGTAGTACTCGGATCCATTCCTCCAGCAGGCTGGGTGAATCAGCCGTCAGGTAATAGGTTTTCTTCTCACAGATGAGCTGTGGAGAAGTGAGGGATTGGGGACCGGGGGCGGCGAGACAAGAGGATGGAATAACAGGGAGCTGGCTCCGAGGTGGCTCTAATCCCTTAGCCATGGGGCCTTCCTTCTTCCCCCGGGTACTCCCTCCCTTCTTTTCCTCCTCATCTTGTTCTCCTTGTCTCTATCTTCATCCTCTCTCTCACACTGGCTCCTCTTCCTTTCCTGTACTCACAATTAGGATCACATCCACGTGTTGATGTACTATCTTTCATACATGCCCATTTTGCCACATCTTTGTCTCCATCACAGCCATATCCAAACCAGGCACCTCTTTCATCTAAAATACTAGCTGCTAGGAGCATGCTCACCTGGAATGTCTGTGCACCCTCCCCTCGAACAATTTGGCAACGGGAGTTCAGCTCCACTTGACCTTGAGGTTTCCGGATGACATCACTCTGTAAAGAAAGGAACAGGGAGGAAAGAGCTTGGAGCCTTAAAAAGCACATCATTTGTCCTCAATCTTATTCCAGGTCACAGGCAAAGGGGAAACCCCAAGCTTGCCTGGGCCATGGCATGATGGGTAACTTGTTCTAGACCCTGGCTCAGGCTAGATGGAACAGCGATTAGAGACAGAGGTCCTTCTGACCTGGGCCTCAAAAAGGACAGATTTAGCCTTTAAAATTGAGTCAGAAGCCACCAGGTTGTTACTGAGCTATAAAGCCCTTAAATTCTTCCTACTACATCCTTTATACCAAGTTGGCAAATCAGTGGCATATACATCACCATTACCATTTCCGGTAGCACTGCAGACATTATTAATCAATCAGAGCATGCCTGCTCATTGAGTGATATAAGCCCAAAATCCTTATCACGTTGTTCTAGACAGCCACAATCAATCAACTGGAGTTGCACAAAAGACAAGGCCTCTTTAAAACATTAACATCGGTTTTTCAGGGAGGTCCTGTCAAACTAGGTCCCAACATCCAAGGCTCTCTAATTCCAAACAGTCCAGAAAGGAGGTAGAGAAGGCAATGGGCTTGCCTGTTAAAACAATTAGATAACATGAGGGCAGCTTGGGAACAGTTCTTTTATGGGACCAGGCATAAGAAGAACTCAGCTTCTGAAGGAAGAAGGAATCACTCAGCCAACTTGTCTGGAACTGCCTGTGACCACCTGGTGCCTGATTGCACCGTGAGAACCAATGACCAGCCTCATGGTCCCCATGTGTGGCTCTAAGTCTCGGGGGCCCAGCCAGGCTGTCTCCCCACACCTGCCAGACCTTTGCCCTCCAGCCAAGGGCCACACTGCCCCTCTTCCAGGCCCTCTCACACGGTTTTGGGTCTGGACTGGGGTCCTTTCAATGACAGTCCAGGGGTAGGAGGGGCTCACCGGGGACTTGTAGTACATAATCTGCCCCTGTCTCAGGACAAACCAGCGCCTCTTCCACGTCTTCACTCGGCTCCCCATTTTCAGCAGGTAGCCCGACTTCTCCAGTGACTCCTGCACGGGTGGGAAGGTGTAGGGGAGAAGAAGGGTGGACAGAAAGTGGACATCACTAGGGTTCCTGGATGTGATTGCAGTATCTCCCCTGCCAGGTAGGTATTCCCAAGTATCACACAGGCCAAAATGGCCCAGTTGAGTCACTGCTTTGTCATCAATTAAAAAAAAATAGAGTACCAACTATGTGTATTTTCAGGGCACCGTGCCCAGCTAAAGGTTCAGAGGACTACATAAAGCATGCATGGTCCTGCTGTGGAAGTACTCCCACGCTGGCTGGAGACAACAACATCTGACCAGGAGAAGACGGTGGATCAGGGGCTGCACACGGGAGAGGCTGGCTAGGGAGAGCTTCAGGAAAGAGCCAGGCCTGAACTGGCCTTGGAAGGAAAAGTCAGCCTTTCCTTCAAAGACGAGCTGTGAGGAGGAAGAAGGCCGTTGCAGGCATCAGGGAAGGGAGAGGTTTGGGGAACAATGGGCACCTCAGCCAGGCTGGGGCAGAGGGTTCGTGGAGCGGGGAGACGGAGATAGGGCGGCACAGTGGTGTGGAGCAAGGGCTGGGGAATGACATCTGCATTTACTGCTGGCTCTGGCATGTAATAACACGTCTCTGAGCCTCAGGCTTCTCATCCATAAAATGGGGTAATGATCCTGAGAGGACTGTGAGGACAAACGCGACTGCCCGAAAGCACTGAACATGGTGCCTGGCACACAGGGAGAACTCAGGAGATCTTGGCATTCAGCCTTCTAGGGTCAGTGTGGAGCTAAAACAAGACAATGTGTGTAAAACTCCTCCTGGGCCTGTGGGCCATGGTGGGCTTACAGCAACTGGCCGCTCCTGGTTTGCTGAGGAGCTCAGGAGGCCCCCTCTCCTTCCTCCCAGGGTCTGTGTGTGCCTGACTCCATAACTGCACAGCCCCCTCAGCCTGCTCCCTCCCTTCACCAATCCCAGGGACCCTGCTCTCACACAGCTGCTAACTGTGTCTTGTGCTCAGGGCCCCAGGCAGCCTCTGCTGGAGGTCTGCCCCCACCCTGCCCGCCTCGGCCCCCATCTGTGTGGGGCCACGCTCCCAGCTCACCCCGCCCAGGCCCAGCCCGTCCATGGAGTAGGATGAAGTGCGCTGGAGTTTGTGCTCAGGCTCTGAGTAGTCACTGTCCAGGGAACAGGCGTCCGGGGGGATGGCGTAGTCGCCCTCAGAGCTCAGCGAGGACATGGAGACACCTGGCCAGGGGAGAGGAGTCACCGTCCGGGTCCCAGGTCTTCCTCAGCTCATACAACCGGGGAGCTGCAGAGCCCTCCTCACCCACCCAGGACCCCCGAGTCTGGGGCTGCGGGGTCACGGGCAGAGATTAAGCAAGGACCCAGGGGCCCCTTGTTGCCCCGCACCCGTGCTGCTCCCCTTCTCTGTACCTCTCTTGATGGCCCGGGGGCTGCCCAGTCCGCTCGTCTTCCTGGACTCAGAGCAGGGGAGTGAAGTTCGGAAACTCGCCTGAGAGCTGCAGTCATCATCAGACCCAGAGGATTCGTCCACAAAGGGTACAGTGCTGATCTGTGTGGCTCTCTGCAAGACAGGCCCCCTCCCCACTGCAGCTCAGGCTGCATGACGAGCCCCCTCCTGCCTGCACCTGCGTTCTGGCTCCGGGTGCCAGGGTGCAGCCAACACCACCTGCTGGGGCACATGGACACCATCACCCAGCGAGGGCACCCAAAAGACAATGATCCCTTTGAGATCTTTACTCCTGTGTTCTCACCTCCGTGCTTCTCCTTGGGCCTCCCTCCCCCACACACCATCTTCTGTGGTCCCCAAAGAAGCTGCCCCATCCGGCTGGACACCTGGCCGCTGTGACCCCTGCTTCCTGCCACAAGGGGGCCAGAAAGCCAAGCAAAGGGCCAAGTGTGAGACAGGAGCTTTAAAAATGTGTGAGGATAAGGAGACACCAAGAGATCATCTCAGTTGGCAAACATTTAAAAAGACTGATTATCTCAACGCTGGTGAAATTGTGCAGAAAAAGATACTCTGTAGTGTGATAAAGCTCCTTTAGAAGATAATTTGGTACTGCCTGTCAAAGTTTAAAACATACATCTCATTTGCCCATAAGTTCCACCTCTAGAATTCTGTCCTACAGAAATATGTACATATTAAGTGCACAGAGATATATTTGCACAGTGATGTTCATCGCAACATTTATTTTAGAGAAAAAATGAGAAATGACCTGAACTGTCAGTCAGTGGAGGAGAGGTTAAGGTAGTTACGGGGCATCTACAGCAAGAGGCACTGGACAGCGCCAAGGGGGGCACACAGTTGTGTGTGGAAGATTGGCAGGAAGACCTGACACACAGTTGGGTGAACAGGCAAGGTACAGAATGACACACGTAACATGATCCCCTTTGTGTGCATGTGTGTGTGCACATGCATGTGTGCATGGGAGAGAGACTGGGGCAAAGAGAATATTTGTAAACACATTTGTAGATGCAGCAGAGGGCCTTGCAGAATAAACCCCAAGCCATTAGTGACAGTTGCCTCTGGGGTTAGGAGTTAGGGAAAAGGGGGCGGAAATTTCACTTTTGGCTTTTTATTCTTCTATAGAAAGTTTTACAAAGTATTACTGTTATGATTTCAAAAACCAATAACATGTATACTTCAATTTAAAAAAAGCTTATTAACTGTGTTCCTAATTACTTCAAAGAAAAAACCCCAACAACAAAAGGAGACAAATGTATATGAAAACATCATGTTGCAGTTATATCTGATTTTTGTTTAAAAATATGTAGGGCTGTTACAGGAGTATGTTTGAATACACATAAAAAGTTCTGGAAGGAGCCCCACTGCCCTCTGGGACAGACATGAAAAGATGGGGAGGAGAGACGGAGCAGGCACAGGTTTAACCTTTAACTTTTTACTTTGCCCACAATCATATTGATTCGAATTTTTGTAAATGCAGAATTTTTATAATGAAAATGTGATAAACAATAAAAATGAAGCGACATATGTGGGTTCAGCTCCCTGCCCAGAGTCACATGTGTGTGGAAGCCTGACCCCAGAGCCGCACTCCAGCCACCACATGGATGAGAGGCCTCTCTGGATGGGGACACCCCTCCTCGGACAGCAGCTTCTTACCCCCTTCAGGGCTGTGTAGACAGGCACGGTGACGTTCTTGTAGACAAGGCCAGAGAAAGGCCCAGGGGACGCCAGGGCAGGAGGGCTTGAAGCTGGAGGGGGCGACGAGAGGGAGGAGATTAACTCAGGGGGGAGTCTGGGGGAGGAAGAGACCTGGGCAGAGCTCTCTGGGAGACAGACTGGGTCACAGATCTCAGTACGAGGGCCAAGGTGTTACAAGTCATGTGACTGTGGGGCTCTCACATCACCGTGGGGATTCTGTGGCTGGCTGGTGACTCAGCAGCCAGTGGGTGGGGATGCGGGTCCTTCAGGGGGCTCCTCCCACTCATAGCCCTTGCACTGCAGAAGGGAAGCCAGAGCAGGTAGGAGCCTGGGCTGGAGGACCCCACCCCTAAAGTCCCTTTCAGCTCTGTCACCGGCTACAGCTCTGTTCATGCCCACTCCCACCCAGCAGGTGATGAGCTGAACCGGCACGGCTTCCTTTTCTCTCCAAGGCAGCCCTGGCTGTGTAACTTCACCTGAACCTCACCTGCTGGGGGAGGACATGGGGTCCCAGGTGACCTGGCCCGGGGTGTTGCTGAGTCTTCTCCTACCCGCACGCCCACACTGCCCACTTGAGCACCTCACTTGGAACTCACTGCAGCAGGTGACATTATTTCTGGGAGACACATCCGAGAGCCTCATGCCTGACGTGGCCACAGCATAGATCCGACTCTCCTGGAATGAGAGGTCCCAGGATGGTCAGCGCCCAGGACTGAGCCCACCTGAGCCCCTCTTGTGGCTTTGGCGTGGGCAGACCTGGGTCCATATCCAGGCTCAGCCAGTTACTGGCTGGGGAGTCATGGGCAAGTTACATCATTTCTGGGCCTCATTTTCCACAGCTCTAAAAGGGAGGTAATAACACTCCTCTTCAGGCTGAGTGAGAATCAAGTGTAATTATTAATGCAAACATTTAACAGCTGGAATATAATCTGTGCCCAAAGATATCTATTCCCTCTCACTGCCACCCTTCCCTTGAGGCAGTTCAAGAGGAGAGGGCTCAGTCGCCTGTTTCTCTGAATCTTATCGTTGTAGAGGCCCTTGGGCCTCAGGCTCTCACCTCTAGAAGTTGGGTGTTGACAACGAGGTCAGAGCCCCACAGCCCCTCCTATAAACCAGTCGTTTGGGACCTGGGACACACTTGTTTCCTACAGTAATAATGTCACATCATGGTTAGGTTTTGAGGCGAACTCTCAAAGACTCTCTGGCTCACCAGACCCCAGAAACCCGTTGTGGAAGACGCCTCGACAGGGAAGGCCCACCCTCAGCTCTTCCTCACTCCTCAGGGTGTCCCTGGGTCTGACGCAGGCCCACAGCCCCAGGGAGCTTTCCTAATGGTTTTGATGCTCCTGAAGAAGACAGGAGGCCCTGCCTCTGCTTTTCCATTTTTCTTCATATCCACTCAAAGTAAAAGGAAAACAACGTGACAAGGTGAGTCACAGACCAGGGAACATCGCCTGCCTCAGGGAGGTAGCGGGGCTGGGGCTGGGAGGCGGGGTGCTATTGGGGTGTCACCCCAGAGGAGGGAAGCAGCACTGGGCACTTGGGGGAGAGCGGGAGGGGCTGGCGAGTGCCGGGTTGAGATCCAGAGGTAAGGGGAGGGATGAGGAGGTAAGAGGTTGAGCGGCAGCGAGGAAGGGTGTCCCAGGAGGGGCACAGGGTAGGGCAGGGGATTCCTGTGCTTTTGGAGGGCAGATAAATTGGGTCGAAGCAGTAAAATTAGGCATAAACAAGATTATTCCTACTAGTAGTGGTTGTGGAATTCAACCAAGGACAGGCCTCTGACTTTACAGAGGAAATGAAAGTGAGGCCTGAGGGATTAGCTTAAACAAATGTGGGAGTGTCTTACAAAAGGTTATCCAATGCATAACTCGCAAGGTTATTTTGAGGAGCAACAGAAAAAGGGCTCTGCAAACTCTAAATTGGCAAATAAGTATATGGGATTGAGAAATGTCCTTCTCTGAATTCTCAGTCTGGATTTTTCCACACAGTACTGCCCAGCTGTCCCACCTGAGAAGTGAGGTCAGGCTCTCTGGTCACGGTGGTTTCCTAAGCTGACACGGGTAATCCCGACTCAGGCACCTGGTGGCACTGAGCCCTCCTGCCATGTCCCTCGCTGAGTGCTCCCTCACTGCCCGCCTCTGCCTTAGGATTCCCGAGCATCTGGATTCACAAGACCACAGCGAACAAGAGGAGGGATGGTTCTGAGGGGGTTCTCACGACCTGGCCCTTCTCCGTTTCCAGCAGCCTCTCCACCTGTGCCTTACCCTTCCTTCCCGTGAGGCAGGGGCCTCAGGGACAGGTCAGCAGCTCACGGCCTGAAGACTGGCTGGCCTTGGGAGACCACTGAGCCCTATCCCCCAGGCCCGGCTCCTGGGCATGGCTGCTTTTGGTCATTCTGGTCCCCACAGCCATCAGCACTGGTCAGCAATCACTGCTAAGGATGTGGCCCCTAGGCTTGGGGTGATGAGGACCCCCAGACTACCAGAATTTCAAAGAAGACCCTGGAAGGTGCTGCTGAAAAGGTGGGCCATCCAGGCAGTGGTGTGGGGTGGTGCCACCCCCAGGGCCTCATTCCCTATGTTGCCAGGAGCCTGACACTCAGACGTCCCCCACAGCGCTGCCTCACACCACAGCAGCATCCCAGGGTCAGACCATGCGTAAGAGGCTGACGTCTGCTCTCTGATGTCCCCTAAGACGCAGTATAACCGGAGGGGCAGAGTCGGGCTCTGGAGACAGCCAGACCTACATTTAGAGCTTGGCCCGCCACTACCTACTATGTGACCTTGGGCAAGTAACTAAGTCTGTGGGGACAGCAGTTTCCTAATCTGAAAAAGGGGACAGCACCTACCTCCTCCCACAGGGAGGGAGTCCTGCCCAGGGGCCAGGTTCTGTGCTCAGCACTCGACCCCATTATCTCATCTCAGCCTCACCACTGGCCAGGGCAACCTTAGTGTTGCCCACCCCCAACCGACTCCTGTTTTTATTTTAACTTGTCCTCACGGGAAAGGTCAGACACAAAAGTGGAGAGAAGAGAACAGAGAATGACCTTGTGTACCCGTCACTCAACTCTACAAAGATTAATGCTTGGCTGGTCTGTTCCATCAGTATTCCCCACCCCAGATCACTGATTCCGAAGCATTTCCACCAGAACTCATGTCGTTTTATCCAATATCACAAGTAAGGAAGGTAAAGCTCAGAAATAATAACATAGCCAATGCTTACATGTCACTTACTGTGAACCACTACTGCAAGTACTTACTATATGTTAACACATTTAATTCTCACAACAACACTAGAAAGGAGCTACTATCATCCCTATTTTACAGAGAGGGAAACTGAGGCACAGAGGTTTAGTAACTTGCCCCGGGTCACATAGCTAGCAACTCAACCCTACAGTTTGACTCTGGGACCTGTGCTCTTTGCCGCAACACCACACTGCCTCAGAGTCATGAAGACTAAACAAGAAATGTGCATGAAGCACCCAGCCTGGTGTGTGGCACACAGTGAGCACTTGCTCAGGAGATGACAGCCAGCCACTGTCCGTCATTCTAAACCCCAGCTCTGCCCCTCACTGGTTTGGGTGGTCTGGGCCAGCTTGGTGGGACTCGCCTCCCAGAGTGGCCGTGAGGATGATGGCCTCGTCTCACGCTCAGCATGAGGCTGTGCTCAATGAACAGTGTTCACACCGTCAGCTCTGCCCCTCTGCCCAGCCCCCAGGGCGCCTCTTACCCAGGATGGAAACCGGTGCAGGGGGGGTGTGGGTGGTTTGTTCCCCAAGTCCACTTCCTCCAGCTCAGCTCTGGGGGCCCTCGGGCTCTCTCTGTCCTCCTTCTTCCCCGCGGGGGGTTGCTCCTCCATCTCCATCTTCTCTGGTTCCTCCCGGAGCTCAGCTCGGGCCTGCACCTCAGGAAGGCTGGAGGGGTGGAGGGCTGAGAGGGTGCCAATCTCAATGCTCACCACCTGGTTGAAGTGCCCAGGGCCCGCCTGGGGCTGGCTGTGGTGCCGCTTGGCCAGCTGGATGCTGTCCCGGGGGGTGCTGGGAGCCCGCACCTTCGGTAGGGTCAGGCTGCTGCCAGGGCCACCTCCCCTAGCAGAGGTCTTTGTCCCAGGGAGCATTCCTCCCTGAGCAGTAACCAGGCCCTCACCCCAGGAAGCCAAACCATGTCTGGGGGTGTGAGGCTTCACGCACAGCTGGCCGGGAGAGCCTTCCCTTCCCAGACGAGGTGGAAGGGTCTTGGCCTCTGATATTTCCCCAGGATGGACCATGCTGGCACTAGAATCCTCAAAAAGGCTTCCTGTTTTAGCAACAGAGTCCTTGTTCTGCAGAGTACCTGGAGAAGGTGCGGGAATAGCTACCTTCAGGGCACCCTGGGCCTGAGGACCACTGTCCTGCCCCATCAGCTGAGTTCCTAGCCCTGAAGGGACAGAATCCTCTTCTAGGGCTCCCTGGGGGGCCACCCGAAGCTTCCCTGAAGGTGCCATCTGAAGAGCTGTGATTGGGGCAAAAAACAGGTCTATTGAGAGCTCCCTCAATTCAGCCCACACCCCAACACACACACACCCCAACACACATACACACACAGCTCCCTCAATTCAGCCCACACCCTAACACACAGACACACAGAGAGACAGACACCTACCCACTCACCCACCTACCCATCCCCACACACACCCCCCCCGGCCTGCTTACCTCCTAGCGCATCTTGAAGGGCCCCCACCTGCTCTACCAGGTGTTGATTACAGCTTTTCAGGTGCTGATTCTCCATCTCAAGCTAGGCAGAAAGGAAAATGAAGATTAAGGATACTCAGCCTTCAGGCTCGGATGCAGAATTCAAAATAAGATTAAGATCCTTTTTAAAGATCAAATCTTTGAAAGAGAACACGTAGTGCGCCACCAACCCAGCGCCGACCCTCCCAGGGAGCCCTGGCCATCTCCCTCCCTCTGTGCTCACTGGTTTTATTGGAATAGAATAAGCCCCTGAACTTTCTTTTCTAGGTGTTTTAAATCTTTTTCTAAATTGTGAAATATAACACACACACAGAAAACTGCCTACCACGTCACTGAACAGCTCAACAGATGATTCCGAAATGAATACTCATGTGACCTTCATCACTCAGGTTAAACAGAAATTTGCCAGCATTCCCAACAACCCAGACCTGTACCTTCCCAGTCACAGTCCCTCCGTCCCCACAAAGGCAACCACTCTTCTAGGCTTATGAGACTCACCTCCTTACTTTCTGGGTTTTACCATCTAAGTATGCATCCCTCACACCCTGGTTTAGTTCTGCCCATTTCTGAACTTCATATAAATGGAGTTATATAGTAGGTACTTCTGTGTCTGGCTTCTTTTGCTCAACATATTGTCTATGAATCCATCCTCATGGTTGCTGCATTTTCTTTTAAACCGAACCCAATACACTTTTACTGAGCACCTTTTAGCAAGGGTCAGGGCTGTGGAATTTGGAGGTAAACCCAGCATCAGCTGTGTCCCCAAGAACTTGCCGTCTAGCAGGTGACCTGAGATGTGCATCCACAGAAGGGGATGGGAGGCAAAATGAGCCAAAACCCCCTGCAGGTGAGAACCACTTGCGTCAGGACAGAGGAAGAAAAGATGAGTGCTTGCCCTTTGCCAAACTTCAATTCCCTTTCCTTTGTTTAGAAAGGGGTTGTTTTTTGTTTTTTGCTAGTAGCACTGTAGCTTCTAGTCCTGATGTTCCTAAATAAAGCTGGAGCAAGGGATGAACTATGACAATGAATGGACAAAGGTGGAAAGTAGAATAGAGGTACCAGGGGCTTGGGGAAGAAGAGAAGGGGGAGTTGGTGTTTAATGGGTACAGAGTTTCTGTTTGGGGTGATGAAAAGTTTTGGAAATCAACAGTGGTGACAGTTGCACAACACTGTGAATGTACTTAATACCATTGAATTGTACACTTAAAAAATAGCTAAGGGGCCAGCCCAGTGGCATACTGGTTAAGTTCACACACTCCATTTTGGCGGCCTGGGGTTCACAGGTTCAGATCCTGGGTGTGGAACTACATCCCGCTCATCAAGCCATGCTGTGGCAGTGTCTCACATACAAAATAGAGGAAGACTAGCACAGATGTTAGCTCAGGGACAATCTTCCTCGAGCAAAAAGAGAAGGATTGGCAACAGATGTTAGCTCAGGGCTAACCTTCTGCACCAAAAAAGAAAAAAATCAAACAACAAAAACCAACCAAAAAACCCCAGAAACAAAAACAGCTAACATGGTAAATATAATGCATATTTTTAAAAATTTAAAAAGAACGGAGAGGACAGAGGAGAAAGGGGAAAGAGGCGATACAAGGACTGTGTGTACACCTCAGAAGGAAACAGGTGGCACTCTTCAGAAGTGAGTCTTGGTTCTTCTTCCGAAACACAAAGTTACTCAGGAGCCCTAACTGCGAAGGGAGCGGTAAGTGAAGCAATGGTCTCAGTGTTTAAGCTGAAGGAAGGGCAAATGGTTAACAAAAAAGGTCAGTCGAGGCCCCACACACAGAAGGAGGCAGAATGACACTGAGGGAGGGAACAGCCCCACGCAGAGGTCCATTCCAGGCCTCCCGAGACGAGGTTTTGACTCACCTCCGCTAACTTTAGTGTCACCCACTCCTTGATCTTTGCAGCTTTTTCTTGAACAATTTTTGCTTCCTCAGCTCTCATCTGCTTCTGCAAGAAAGCGAGGGCCCTTAGCGAGTCACGGCAGTCACTAGCTTAGTGAATAATCAGAGGCGGGAAGCCGTGAGAAGAAATATCAAGAGACTGGATGGGGGTGGCCCGAGAGAAAAAAATTAATTCATTTATGACTTTTTAAAATATTCTTAAAGTGGGAAAGGCTTTCCTAAACACAATACAACTCCAAAAAGCCATGAAGGAAAAGGCAAATAAATCTATATCATCACTACAAATTACTATATTACCAAAGAAAAAGAATCCCTTAAACAAAACCAAAAGACCAACTGGGGGGTGATTAGCTACACAAATGATTTATGTACAAAAGGCTAATTTGAAATGAACAATCCAATAAATATATGCAAAGGATATGACCAGGAAATTAACAGAAAAAGAAAGAAAGGGAAAAGAACCCATGAAAAGCTGTTCAATCTTAATCATAATTTTAAGAAGGTAGATAAAAGGGAGACATCATTTTCCTCTATCACGCCAACATAATTTAAAATTTTGCTATTATCCCAAATTGTCAAGAATGTTGGAAAACAAACCCTCTCACACAAGTTGGCAAAGCCTTTCTGGGGAGCGATTTGTTACCCATCAACATTGTAAATGTACACACCACTGACCTAACAAACCCACTGCTTAGCAATCGTTAGTTGCAAGATTATTTGATAAAGCAACAAGAACAAAAACCTCAAGACTGGAAATAACCTGAGTGTCCTCAAATAAGGGCTTGGCTAAATAAAATGAAAATGGAATGCTGGGCTTTGGTACACAAGAAACGTTCACAGCAAACAGTGTCAACAGTGAGGAGGGGAAATGAACGATTGGGGACAGGGGAAAAATGTTACTTGTCATTCTATACCTTCTGGTCTTTTTGTATTTTTTACTATAAACATGAATTACCTTTACAGTTAAAAAACAAAAAAGCTACATTATCACATATGTGCAGCAATTCCCTCAAAATAATCAAGAGTGTAAGGGAGGTTTGCATCTGAAGAATAGCATCCAAGGATAGAACAGGGCTGAGATCTTGGCTCTGAGGCTTATTTGCTGTGGGACACTGGGCAGGAAACCGAACCTCTCTAGGCCTGCACGGTCATGTCCACAATGGGGGGATGATACATCTCCCACCCTGGGCCAGTGTGAGGATTAAGTGAGAGGAAGTGCACAGCACAGAGCCTGAGGCACAGGCAACTGACCACTTCCACACTGAGCACCAGTCCCCTGACCAACAAAGCCTGGGGACGCCAGGTGTGTGCTGAGTGGTGTAGAGACCAGCAATAAGGACCAAGGTTACACTTCTAGGGAAAACTGCCTGATAATTGTAAGATTAGGGACATAAGCTCCAAACAAGGGAGTCTGTGGAAATGAGATAGGAATGTGAAAATGGCAGACTCTCAGTAGTTCAGAGCTCAAATGACCTGAGGTCATCTGGCTCAGGGGTTTGCAAACTGGCCCACAGGCCAAATTCAGCCTTCCACCTGGTTCCCACCCCCCCACCAACTACCTATTTTTGTAAATGAAGTTGTACTGTAATACAGCCATGCCCATTCATTATCTCCCATCTAGGACTGCTTTCTCCCTATGATGACAGAGTTGAGTAGTTGCAACAGAGACCATGTGGCCCACAAAGCCAAAAACATTTACTTATAAGGCTTTTTAGGGAAAAAGTTTGCCAACTCCTAAACTAGTTTGATACCCTCTTTATACAGCTGTGGAAATTAAGGCCCAGGGCAGTGAAATGACTTATCTCTGTCAGTTTGTGGCACAGCTGGGATTAAATCCAAGTCTGACTTGCAGAACAGCATTCTTTCTGCTCTGATCTTCACTTATTATTGTAAAATGATTTTTCTGACCTAAGCTTTAGCAGGAGCCATTTTGCCCACCAATGCCCAGGATGCTGCCACTTCTAACCACTCAAAAGAGAAGACAGCAGCAGAGATAGAATTGACGGGAAATTGATTAAAGGGTCCATGTGTCAAAGTTCTATTTTCTCATGATTTTTCAGGAGCACATGGTGCCCGCAGCATACAAAGGCACATCCCACAAAGGAAATACTCAGTGAATGCTGATGAATGATTACGAATTTGCCCATCATGGTGGGAAGGTAGTACCAGGATTAGCTGGGACCTTCATGGAAAATGTACATGTGGAAAATTAAAAGTCATCTGGCCACACTGTGGGGTTGTCTGCTAGAAAAGATGGACCTCTGTCACCAGGAAAAGTGGGGTAGGTAAGGCCAACGGCAGAGGTAAGAGTGAGAACTAGGATGAAGTTAGTGAGATCGGGCATAGGGAACCAGTGGGGGATGTTCCAGATGCCCTCTCTAGAGCAAAGGTGCTAACTGTAGCTGGAGCGCTGGGCAGTGGCCTCTCCTGGGCCCCCTGTGCTCAGGATGAGAGGCACTGCTTCTTGGAGGCAGCAGCAACTTTGGTCTCTGCCGACTCAGGTTCCTTGAGAAACTGTGGCCAAGCAGCTGACCAAGGCTGACGGTCCAGCTCTGTGCTGCTCTGAGACTACAGGCAAGCGTCCTGTCCCATGTGTTGGCAGGGCACAAGGCCAGGGTAGAGAAGGAAAAGCTCTTCTTCCCAAGCACCGACTTCATGTCTGACACTAGACACAGATTATCTGAGTTCATTCTCCCGACAGCCCCATGAGGTATTATCAGCCCTATTTTATAGATGGGTAAAATGAGAATCAGCAACTTCAGTAATTTGCCCACAATCAGACAGCAGCAGGTGCTAGAGGTGGGATTCAAACCCAGAGGTCCTTTTCCCACTATACCCCCTGCCTGGCTCCTAATGTACCTTCCAGTAATTAAATCTCCACATGAAAAAACAGTCTCATGAAGGAGTGAGCTCCCCACCCCTGGAGGGCTCAGAGGGGCTCAGCTCGACAAGCCAGGGCCAACTGGAGCAAACAGTGTAGAGGGCACCAGCACTCTGCTTCATGTTAGCTCTTACCTGCTTCTCCAGCTGTGCCTCCAGCTGGCCGATGAGCTCATCTTTGCCCTGCACGGCTTTCAGCAATTCTTGGTACTTTCGGTGCAGGCTGCCTGCTGAGTCCACATTCTTCAGACTGGACAGTTTCACCTTCTCTTCCATCATACCCACCTGAAAAGTATCAATACTCTCATAGGGTTGAGACATGGTATGTGGAATGGGCACTAATGTGGGATGGAATGCTTCTTGATGTCCCAGCCCGTGACTCCCAGGCAGAGCCCTTACCCAGAGAAGTCAAGGCCAATTAAGTCAATGACCAATTATGAAGCTTCATCTGAGCAAGAGAAGGAATTGACAAGGAAGAAACAGCCAGGTGTTGGCCATCTAATTCAGGGGGCCCCAGTAGGGACAAGCTGGGCAGGACACACAGCCCTGGAGAGGAACTGCTCCACCCTCACTGTGGCAGAGACATCTGTGGCTCACTGCATGCCAATGTGTTTCCTGATATTTCCCAGCCCTCTTGTAGTTAGACAGCCATGGAATTCTCTCCAGCCAATGGGCCAGAGTGCGATGACACATCATTTCTGGGCTAAAGTATTTAAGAGCTGGTGCGCAAGCACCCAGCTCTCTTTCCCTGCCATGGCAACCAAGGAGGTTGCATGTTCCAGATGGTCCAGCTACATGCTGGGGAGCTCCATTAGCCTGGATCCATGAAGCACTGGGTGGAGCAGAATCCCTGGCTAACCCTCAATTTAGAGGGGCACCAGGAGTGAGAACTAAATGTGGTAAGTCACTGAGATGTCAGACTTAATTTGTCACCTCAGCAGAACCTAGCCTATTTGGACGAATCCACTTACCTGCTCACTGCACTGACCCTTACCCAAAGACTGTTTCATGCTCACAGAAAGCTCCACACACCTTAATTTGTTCAGAAGGTCTAACAGGTGACTGCTGGTTCCCCTTGTCCCCGTAAAGAGCTTATCAGCATGAGTGTGTCCATGGGAAGTGTCAGGAAAGGCCATCTGTCATTCCCGTACGCACTCCTGCCAATCCCCTTCCCTGGTTACCTGGGTCTCTGCATTCTCTGCTCTCTGCTCTGCCTCCAGCAGCCTCTGCTCCAGCTCCTGCATCTGCTCAACCAGAGAAGAAGGGGAGATGTAGGTGTGGCATCCCTACCATGGACATGCCATCAAGGCAACGTGGGCAAATGGTGCAGACACTGCACCCAGGCCAGGCTTGAACTGCCCATCTCAAGTGGCTCAAGGAGTCAGAGCAAAGATTTTCATGGCAAACCTCGGTTCAACTTATCCAGAATTTAAGAGGCAGGTGAAGAGCCAGGGCTGCTGTCCTCGCTGCTGAGCAAGTAAAAGCCTAAGGAGGCGTTTCTCCCTGTGCAGGATACTCAGGGAGGGGCAGCAGTGCCACGGCCTTCTTCCTGAGGCACCCTGCCCACAGTCCCGCCTGCAGTCTCCTCTCCCTGAGGCCTCTTTCCTCTCAGAACTGGGCAGCAGGCAGTGCACTGCTACCGCTCGCCATGTGCCTGGCATGGAACATGCTCCCACATGGGCCCCCATCATGTCATCAGTAAGAGAACGTTTCTTCCCACCTCGGAATAACTCACTGGCTGGGGACAAGCACTTCCTCACTCCCTGTCAAGGATGCCTCTGACCGTAAATGGCATTCACAGGTATCACATAATTTGATTTCTTTACTCTTAAAGAAATAGAGAGGCTCAAGACAATTTTTTTAAAATCCTATCTTGCTACCAGTAGAGCGTGTCATTCAGGTCTGAGGAACCTGGCAATTCCGGAATCTTACGCCAAGTGGCCCAATCACAGGGACCAATGTTCTTACATATGGAGGCTCATCAGGGACCAGATCTAAGCTGAAGCCTAAGGAGCTGCTCACGAGCCCACAACCCACACGGCATCTCTGCAGCTTCGCGAGCTCGCAGCTTGGCGAGTGGAGTGTGGGCTGGATTTCAGCTCCTACACTTCCCCTGGTCAGGGCTCGGCCGTCTACTGCCCTAACCACACATCATCACACAAGGTTCCGAGGAAGCAGAGCAGAGTCATACATCCAACTTTCCTGTCAAACGCCATGTGCCATGGCCTAGTCAAGTCAACTTCTTCCTTTCCTGCCCTGCCTTGCCCCCGGGCAAGAGGTATGCATTAAATATACAGTACAGGCATAATCTTCCAGGCGTGTCCTCTGCGAGGCTGAACAGCCTCCACTTTCAAGCTCCAGTCCAGCCTGCGCCCACCTCACCTCTGTAGATTTGGCCTTTTCTCCAGCTACTCAACCTTCTCCCGTTGGCCTGGATGCTGGCTTGATATTTACCAGTAAACTGAGCAATTAATTCCTTCTCTCTTTTCCAATCTCTCACCTCAGCCAAAATTCTGCTTTCCTTCCTTGATTAAAGTATGGAAGAGAAGAAGCCCCCCAGTCTGGTGCTGGACAGTGAAAGGAGAGTTACCCGGAAGTAGCTCATGTTTGAGAACCTGGGACCCCTCTTTTCTCAGGGCAGCCCTCCTGCATCCATTTTTTTCCTCCTTCTTGGGAGAGGAGAGACACAGATGCTTTCATACACATTCTCTCTGAAAGGAGCTGAGGATCCCAAATGAAACTCAAGATTTACAACCATGGGACAAAAATACCCCTTGGGCTTCCAATGGACAGGAACACTTCTGCCAGGCATTCATGTGCTCGGGACAAGGATAACTGTATCTCTTCTTTCCTTATTCTCCTGAGTTTAGCAATTATGATAGAACCACTTGAATCAAGCCCCAGAGAGTGGGTCGCTTCTGGCCAGACTCAGGCATCAATTAGAGCTAGATGGCCTTTCTGAAATCAAACAGCCCTTGGGCCTGTCTTACAGGAGTCCCTTGACCTTCAAACAGTTGCTCTGCAGCTACAGGGGAGATAACAGCATAGCAAAAACCAATATTATGGTTATAAGGGTGGCTTCCCAGTGCAAAGAGAATTCCACATGATGGTGGGGCAGGGGAGGGTTGGTTGACACATACCAGTGCCTCCCAGTGACCAGGTGAGTACTATATAAAACTCCCCCTTCAGCACCAGACCTGACTGGATCAATCAGGTTCTCTCTCACCAGGAATCTGAAATCTGGGACTGAGAGACCAGAGACAAGAGCCAAGGGGCTGCCCCGAACGTTCACAAACTTCACCAAGTCATGATTGCTAGGAAGTTCCTTCAGTTCCATGAGCTGTTCCAGGATCCTCCCAATAAATTCCCTGTTTGCATAAGCTAGCCCAAATCAGAAACGACTCTAACTAATACAATTACCAGGAGCATTTAATTTTTTTATTTTATTTTATTTTTTTTAAAGATTTTATTTTTTCCTTTTTCTCCCCAAAGCCCCCCGGTACATAGTTGTGTATTCTTCCTTGTGGGTTCTTCTAGTTGTGGCATGTGGGACGCTGCCTCAGCGTGGTCTGATGAGCAGTGCCATGTCTGCGCCCAGGATTCGAACTAACGAAACACTGGGCCGCCTGATACGGAGTGCGCGAACTTAATCACTCGGCCACGGGGCCAGCCCCCAGGAGCATTTAATTTTTTAAGACTACAATGAAATATTGAAAGGGAAGGCTTTGGATCCCTGACAAGTTTCTTAGATTAACTTTCAGCTGGACCGTTTAGATCTCACACCTGCTCTGGAGCTCAGAAGACAGAGGATTTCCATAAGAAATGATCGTTCACATTTGTGACTTCTGCAACGACTGTCTAATATTTTCTAACTTCATCTGATAGAAAACTTCCCATTTTACAGATGGAGAAACCAATGTAGGGTGAAGTACAGAGTGTATTTGAGTCCTACCTCCCAGCTGGGTATTTCCATTTGGGTGAACAGTGGTCAATGATACTGGCCAGAGCCAGAAATCACTCCACTATTGACAACATGGTGAGCACTTTTCCCCTCAAGATTTTAACACAAGACATCCCTTTAAGGTAAGCTATCATGGAAGCAGATGGAAAGGAAGGCCTCCTCCCAGCCTTGGGCCGGCCGCCACATAGTCCTCATTGCTTCCCACCCTCCAGCGGTTCCTATCTTCCCAGCAAGGGCACAAAAGACTCAAACCATTCTGTATTCACCTTTATGCTGGAGTATTCTTTTTTCTCTAAAACTAATGTCCAAACATTGAAAACATGTGGAACAGTTGGAACTTTTTTAAAAGAGAAGAGTATAATGACCATCCGTGTATCCATCACTGTGCTCCAACAATTACCGACATCCTGCCGTCCTTGTTTGAAAAGAATATTTTTAACATCATGTTTCCCTCCGTTTTTACGAAAATATATTTTCTCCATTGCCATTGGAATACTCCCAGGTGTGTCTATGCCAGAATGTCATTTTTAGAGTTTTCAAACTCCTCTGTTAATCCCAGCATCAACTTTTCATGATGGCAGACTGCTCTTTACACTTGCATAAAGGGCCACATCTGGAGCTCTGAAATGCTTACACTATGGGCGGGCCACCCTTTATTTGGGTCCTGTTTCTCCTCTCAGAGGGTTCCCTAGGACCGTGTCCTCAGCTGTCCTTTTGGCCTGTGGGCCTGGAGTGACGCGCCAGCAGAGGAGGTGTCAGGTTTAGGCGGCTGACTTTTAGGCGGGATCCACTTACACCAGCTGCGACTCACACATGAGACTCTAAGCTGGCTAGAACTGGCGCAACAACCTGATGAAATGCACTTGGCACCAGCCTGGTATCTAATCCCCATGTCCACAGCTCCTTGTTACACTCAGTGATACTGTGAAATATCAGCCCCCTGGGGCAGGAGCAGTGGGCGCTCTCCCGTGCTCTCAGCACAGTCCTGGTGTGCCGAGCAGTGGCCTGAGCCAAGAGCCTCACCATGCTGAGTCTCAGCTATCGCTTTGAAAAGGGGGTTCAATATTCTTACCACGGCTTTGCACCCACTGGAGAGAACAGTACAGGTGAGAGCTAAGGCTCTAGCTCCTGGGTGTGGCTTTAGATAAGTTCTTTATCCTCTCTCTGCCTCAGTTTCCTTACCAGTGAAAGAGTATGAGTCTCCATCTCCGAGGGTTGTTGTGAAGATTACATGAGATGCGTCATGTAAAGCTCATGTGCACACCTTGGCACTTACTGAGCAGTTTACACACATAGCTACTTGTTGGCTTTTTGTCTACAAAGACGGCACTTGGGACCAGGGAGACCAGTTGGCCTGGGACAGTCTGGTGCTCACCTGTCATCCCAGAATAATTATTAATAGAGCCTCCCTTTCTTTCTCTAACGTGCTCCGATTTAGATGATAAATTATATGGTCAGCCTACTTATGATCCATCTACAGAAAGAATCGCTTTAAGCCAGAAGTTGCCGACTACTACCCTACAGTGTCTTGTAAGACCTACAGTGTCTTGTAAGACCTACAGTGTCGTGAGATTTGGCAGACACAGATATAACAAAACAAGGCCACTTGCTACGTGTCTGGCACTGCTTTACGCACTTTATATGTATTAACTCAACTAATCTTCATTCCAATCCTAGAAGGCGGGGACCATTATTATCCCTGTTGTACAGAGAAGGGAACTGATGCAGAGTGGTTAGCAACTTGCCTGAGGTCACACAGTCAAGAGGCAGAGCCAGGATTCAAACTCAGGAGCAGTGGCTCCAGAGTCAATTGTACTGTTAGCCACTGGGCCTCACAGATCCAAATCTCATGTGTCACATAAAACCCAGATTCTACATGTAATCCCTGACTTCCAGCTTCTCTTGAAAACTCAGATCTGGACACACTAAGGTTACATTTTCTTACGGCAATAACTGGCTTCCTCCTCTTGCTGTAGCACACTCCCTCAAGGTCTCCCCAGGACCCACCTGTCTCACTTATTTAAGTCACTTGCAAGCATTTGAGTCTGCAACCCCCAGTTTTAGCTATTAAATGCTTCTAACTCTGTTGTCATCAAAGACAGTGGTTTTCAACTTTATTATTTTTAGTGGCAGATCTTTTGTGCAATCGAAGTCACATGCTTATTCCTAAATATATAAACTACATGACTGTGGGGCTGCCCCGGTGTCTGACTGCAGAAGACGCAGCAGAGAAAGGGCTCCAAGTCTCATCTGTGGGTTCCCCTGCTCCCAGCCAGCCCAGAGCCTCCTCGGGAGCACATGGGGTTCGGGGCATCCACTAGAAGGACAGCCGAATGGGGCCCAGGGGCAAGGCCGTGGCGGGAGTTCTTGGCGGTACATCCCAGGCTTTCAGGGGTACAAGGACCCACATGGAGTTTGCTGCAGGCACACTCCTGGGTCTTGCCCACAGAGGTTTGTATAGCAAGTCTGAGGCAAGGACCCAGAAATGTGCTTGAAAAGAAAACTCCAGGTGATCCTGGGGCAGGTGTTCCACAGATACACTCTGAAAACACAAGACTGGCCACAAGCTGACTGACTCCTTTGGAGACACATCCCGGGGCCCAGCCTCCAGCAGCACAGGCTTCTCAGACGGCTTTACAGGAGTACAGAGCTCTGTCAATACTCTGGTTCCTGAGAAATACTCTAGTGGGCCTTATAAAAAATGGGGGGTTAGGAGAATAAAAAATCTCTCTCCCCCCCCCCCACACACACTCACACGCACGTGCGCACGCTCACACACAGTGAATAAAAGTTCTAGAAAGTATTTGCTCCCAAAGCAAATCGGGTTTGTCAGAAATGAAATCTGCTAAGGCCGATGCTGCGATGACTTTGCACAGACTTCAACGTATTTGTGACCAGTCCTGACAGCCCTAGTATTCTCCTTTTATGGCACCTGGCCTTTTCACAAGTCCTGGGGTATTTAAGGATATGGTTTTCTGGGCCTTGTGTTCTACCCAGACGTTGTGAAGCTGGTGCCCGAAGTAAATCGCCACCTCTGTATAATCCACGGTCTGAGGGGGGAAGAGCAATATTCATTGTTCTTTTGTTGAAGGAGATGGAACTGAGCCATTTATACATTCAAAAAGAAGTCCTGAACTACAAATTTTTGGTAAATACAAAACTGAGATACTGCATTTCAAAACCTTGGTTGGAGAAACCAGTAAGGGACTTTAGAAAAGACGAAGCGTATACAGTCCCATTGGAACAGGATTTGGGAAAAGCCACTTCAGTTAAAAACATGCAAGCTAAAAAAGGAGGGATGTTTTATTACATTATTTCTTCTTTTTAATAAATCCATCAAATCCATCTTGGAAGCAGATAGGGAGTAAGCAAATAAAAAATTTTAAACTTGCATTAATTCTAATCTAATACTAATACTAATCATGATAATTCCTACAAAGTTCTTCTGTGGATATTATATTTCCACTTTTCTGATGAGAAAACTGAGGCATAAGTTTAGCAAGAATGAAAAAAGTCCAAGGGGCTTTTAATATCCATCTCTACAGCCTCTTAGAACAGTATCAAGTTTTAAACTGACCTGACTAGCCTTTGTGACTTCCGCAGCACACCAAGAAGACGGCTGGGGAGCAGAGTGGGATGTGAACTCCGAGACATCAGCCACTCCCTCGACTCCTGCACTGGATGGGAAGTGAACCCACAAAGCCATCTGGCTCCAGAATGGCGCGGCCCTGGCAATGTGGGTGTCCATGACAACAGTGACCAGGGCACACCAGTCCTTGAGAGGTGTAACAGCAGGAAGGTCTAGAACTCTCTTCTCCTCACACTCCAGCTCCTCTCTCACCCTCTGGTGAGGGATTATCGGGTAGCCTTTTTTCTTTAAAAAACATTTTTCTTTTTAGCACAGATCATTCCCTGTCTAGAATGGCAATGCTGCAGGAGAGAGGCAGGTGCCAGTAGGCTGTGTGGTGGGGAGGGAGGAAGGGCACGCTTCCAAGCCTTAGCAGCCAATAGGTGGCGTCTGATCCCAGGCAGCGCTGGCAGTGAGGGGGCGGCCAGCAGCCATGCAGCAACGTAATCTCCACAGATGGGCGGGCAGCTGGGCAGAGAGTGGAGGGGCAGGGGAGTGAGACAGCTGGCCAGAGGGCCCCAGCTGCCCTGGCTCACCAGGGTGCAGGTGGTACCGACAATGACTGACGTGGAAGTTCTGCAGGGAGCGGCAGAGCTGGGACCAGGGCTGAGCCCCAGCAGGAGCTGTCCTGAGAAACCTGTCATCTCTTCCTGTGATCTGAAACTTACCTTGACGTATTGGGGAAACTCTCTAGTGAACTGTTGAACCCGTCCTATTGCTTTGGGAATGACTGCAGGTGACAGGCAGGGCCCCAACACTGAGCAACATGGTGTTCACAGCCTTAGGCTTTCCTCCCAAGAGGTTCGCTGTTGGGCTAACATCCCAGCCCTCTTCCTTACTCAAGTCTCCCAGCCCATGAACCCCAGTCAAGATTTCTCTCTCCTTCTCCCCTCCTGCACCCCAAATCTCTTCTGCCCTGAGTCTGCTTCCCCCTTCTTTACCCAAGTAACAGGCTGAGCCCCCAACATTTTTATGAGAGGGCATCCTGGTCAAAGATGACCTGGAAGAGAAGAGGAGCCGATATGAAAGTTCAATCTACCCAGAACAGAGGGGCTGTGGAGGAAGAAGGTGTGTTTTTATTGTGTGTTTAAGGCCCCTAGGGAATAGGGAGAGCAGCACTTTAAAACATCTTTTATTATGAAATATTTCAGGCCAAAAGAAACACGTAGAGAATAATTTTTTTAAGACATGTATACACTATTCAGCTTTGTCACATCCCAATTTTTCTCAAAGCTGCTTCTGATGTTTTTGTTTCTGTTTGTGAGGAAGATTGGCCCTGAGCTAATGTCTGTTGCCAATCTTCCTCTTTTTGCTTTAGGAAGATGGTCCCTGAGCTAACATCTGTGCCAGTTTTCCTCTACTTTGTATATGGGATGCCGCCACGGCATGGCTTGATGAACAGTGTGTACGTTCACGCCTGGGATCCAAACCTACAAACCCAGGGCCAGCAGAGCCCACGAACTTAACCACTACGCCACCGGCTGGTTCCCTGATGTTTCTGAGAAACGGACCACTACAGATAGCTGGGGCCTCCTGCATACTTCTCCCCAATGTTACTCCTCTCCTTCTGGTATTGACCCTGCACTTGGTTGTATTTAACTTTTTAACTCATTTGCATACACCCCCTAAACAACAGACAGTATTGTTTTGCAGTTTTTAAAACTTTATAAACTCCATTGTTCTAAATATATCCTTCTGGACTTTTTTTGTTCAGTGTTGGTTTTTGAGATTTACTGATCTTATATACGTAGCTCTACTCGATTTATTTTTACTTGCAATGTTGTATTACGTTGTACAAATACACTCAATAGGTTTATCCATCCCCTGTGAATAGACCTTTAGAATAGCTCTGTTTTTTCATACATCGATGCTGCAATATACATTCTGGTATATGTCTCCTTGTGACCAATATATTTGGATTTATTTCTACCACTGCATTTTGTGCTTGCTGATTACTCCTTTTTTTCCATACTCGTTTTTTTCTCTTCCCTGCATGGAACTAATAGACTTTATTCCACTTCCCTGCTCTACTGATTTGAAAGTTATATACTCTATTTGTTATTACTATTATTCTAGACTTAAATTCTAAACTTAAAGACTGTTCATTGTTCCCCAGTATCTGTTCTCCCCTTCTCTCTCACATAAATAGAACCTCCAACTTTTAGCAGAGCACATGTTTATCCAGAATAATGACAACACTTTCCAACCTTCCCTGCGGCTAGGTACAACCACGTGAATAAGTTTTGGCCAATGGGATGTGAGCAGAAGGAATGAATGTAACCTCCAGGTCACGTGCTTAAAGGGAACAGGTTGGAATGTGGACATGAGGGCAAACCATTTTCAAACACGTAGCAGACATCACCCTAGAGGTAGACTGATTATGCCTGGAATGTGACATGAGAAGGACATAAGCATCTGTCTGGTTTAAGCCGTTGTTATTTGGGGTTCTTTCTTACAGCAGCCAAACTATGATCTAGCTAAGACAGTAGGCATAGATTTAAAAAAACTTTATGGTGCTTAGACTCATTCTGCTTCCTGAATCTGAGGCTTCATGTCTTTCATCAAGCTTGGAAACTTTTAAGCCATTATCTCTTTAAGTAATGCCTCTCCTTCATTCTCTTCTCCACTTCTGGAATCTTATATAGGATCTTGTCATTCTAGCATCCACATCTCAGTCTCTGTGTCCTTGTGCTGCCTTCTGGATGATTTCCTCAAGTCCATCTTTCCATTCGTTAAGTCTGTCTTCAATGGTGCCTAGTCTGATGTTTAACCTATCCACTGAACATTTAATTTCAACAAAAACTTTTTTCACTTCTAGCAGTTCTATTTGTTTCTTTTTCAAGTTCACCTGATCTTTTTGGATAGTGTTTTGTTCTTGTCTCATGTTTTCAATTACTTCGTTACATCTGCAATAGTTTTTAATTCACTTATTTTATAGTGTCTTGCCAACTATTCTATTATTAGAAGTTCTTGAGGGGTGTCTGGTCCAGTTGTTTGTTGTGTATGTGGACTCTCACTCACTGTAGATTATTCTCTCAAGTATTGAGTCATTGTGGATCATATATTCACCTTCACTAAGGCTTTTGTTTCCATGGAGATCCTGTGTGATCTCAGTTGAGGTCTTGTTTCTCAACCAGGGAGGCTCTGTGTCTGTTCCTACAAGGTCTCCCAGGTGTATCACTGGTCCAGAACTTAGGGTTCCTAATCCACAGAGATAGTACAAATTCTAAGGTTAAACCAATGGCATCCTCAGGTTCTCAGGGAACACTTTCCTTTTTCTTTATTTTTGTTTTTTCTGCCCAGAGCCTTGCCAAGTATGAGAAGCTGTTCTGCCATCTCCCTGTGCTGGTGGATGATTTTCTTTTCCTTGTATACCTTTTTACTTAGGGTAAAGTCCTTTGATAGTCCTGACTTTATGTGGAAGTTTCAGTTTCAACTCCCACTTCCAACTGGCCAGACCTCATCTCTGTTCCCACAGATGTTAAAACTCAAAACTCAAAACTTTCATTACTAAAGGGAGGCCAGACACACACCCCATCCCACTCAGATGCCAGAACTGAGTATCACTCGGGATTTTCCTCACTAATGATTCCTTTTACTTTTTTCAGTGCACAGATCTGCACTGAGAAGCATATTTTAAACAATTAATCCAGTATTTCTAGGTGTTTCATAATGGTCTTTTTTAAGGTTATTTTGTTGTCTGTATTGTTAGAAACAGGAGTCTCTTCCCTCTGAGATGTGTTTTAGACCATCTGGTCTAGATCCCTGCTTATCCTTTCCTTCCTTGCATGCCTCCCCCAATCCCATATCCTAAAGCAAGGTTCTCAAACTTTATAGTGTACGAAACCAATTTCTGGGAGCTTGTTAAACATGCAGATTATCAGCAGCAGGAGACTTGGATCAGAAGGACTGGGGTGGGGCCCAGGAATGTGCATGCTGAACAAGCACTCCAGGTTTCTGGCATAGGTGGTCCGAGGACCACCTTTGAGAACCACTGCGTAAGGCCCACTTCCCTTTCCCTGAGGTGGCTGGATTCTACCCTTTCTACTAGTAGAACCTGAACCATATCCATAGGAACCCTGCTGGTCTCTGTTCTGCAAAGCCTGAACTAAGAGACAGCAATGCCAACAGACCCACCGTTCACGATTCTAGTCCAGGCTAGGCCAGGGCCACTCCCCTCAGCAGTGGAAATGTAGAGGTGATACCAATAATTTGTCTTCCTGGACTCCAGGTTTGAGGCTATCAATAAAATAGGTCATTTATTCAGGCTTTACTAATCAAGACTCTGACATTACTTGAAGAAGGATGGACTGAATTTTACTTTTGTACTATGAAAGAAGGGTTTGCTAGGCAATGGATACAATAAACAAAACTATGGAGAGAATAGTTGATTCAGGTAAGATACATATATTTTCTTAGTGAAGGTCTCTACTATCTAGATGGGTTATGCTCCAAAATGCCTCTGAAAGTCAGCCATTTAGAATGTAGCTTCCCGTAGAAACATTATGACTCATGGTCAGTTTGCCAGACCAGCCTACCCAAGCCTGTAAAGATAATAATTATTCCCATTTAAGATCTATTCTGTGCTAGAACATTTATATATGAGATATGATATAATTCTCAAAATAACTCTGAAAGGTAGACATTTGTGTCCCTGCCTTAAAGGTGAAGGTAGTTGCCTAGGGTCACATAGCTAGTAAGTGGCAGAGCCAGACGTGTCTGGCTCTAAAGCCTGTGACCTCGTCACCAGGAAACCAGGCTGCCTTCCATAGCTCCTTAATAGAGGATGCACAGGAGGGTGAGGATGCATAGGAGGGTGAGGATTTCCATTCTTCTCTCCTATATCATCCTCCTGCCCCACACTGGAGAAGAAATGTTAACGGAGTAATAGAACCTTCACTGCACTACACGTGACTCAAGAGTTGATGGAGAACTAAGAAGACCTGTGTCACTTCTTTGGTGTGCCATACGAAGAGGCAGAGCAGGGAAGGATGCAAGCTGACAGCTTAGTCAACTGCTTTGATTTCGGTCTTTTAAAAAAAAAAAACCACCGTGGGTTTCAGTTTGCATGTGTAGAAAGCATCTTATTAAAAGTTCACCCTTCCGTAAGGAGTAGCAAATAAGGATCTAATGCCCAGTATAGTGAATACAGACAACAGCACTCTATTATAATCATCAAACTTGCTAAGAGACTAGAATTTAATTATCCCAACCACTAAAAAGAAATGCTAATTATGTGATAGAGGTGCTAATTACCACTACAATGGCAACCCTATTACAATATATAAATGTATCAAATTAACATGTTGTACACCTTAAATTACACAATGTTATATCAAATATATTTCAACTAAAAAGAAATAAATGAAATAAAACAACAAAAAAAGAAAGCTCACCTTCCCCAACTCTCCCTCTCTCACACAGACCTCTGTGGTGAGTCGGGCCTACCTGCTCTCCAAGACCCACCTTGTCAGCCAGCAGCTCCCTTATCTTGCTGGCCTGTAGGCGGAACCGGAAGAGCTGGGTTTCCAGGGCCAGGCAGCGCTTCTGCCAGTCCACGCTGGTCCGGCTCTCCACCTTGAGTTCTGCCATGATGGAATCAACTTCTGGATATTCTAGGGAGCCCTGAGAACCAGCACAGTGAGAGAAGAAAAGATAAATAAGGGTGTGGGAAGAGTTGTGTGGGGAGAGGAGGAGGAGGAGATCAATGGAGGACAGAAAACAGGGCTGGGGAGGTAAGTTAGTCATTGCTCTCCGCCTGTCCCATTGCCACCTTTCTCGGCTCACTGTGTCCCGCTCCACTCTAAGTTAGCCGAGCAACCTCAGGAAATCACAGAACCTGAGAAACCGTAAGGAGAACCTAGTCTCATTTTTACAGAACGGAAAAGTAGGGCTCATCTGTTTTTCATTCAATTATCTATTTAACAAGCATTTATCCATTCAACAAATATTTACATGCCAGACACTGTTCCAGACACTGGAGATGCAAAGGTAATTAAGAGAGGTCCCCTTGTCTTTGAGTTTTTCAAGAAAGTCTAATTGCAAAATTACAAGGTAGTCACAATTGCTTTTTTTTTTTCCCTCCCCAAATCCCACCAGTACATAGTTGTATATTTTTAGTTGTGGGTCCTTCTAGTTGTGGCATGTGGGATGCCGCCTCAACATGGCTTAATGAGCGGTGCCATGTCCGTGCCCAGGATCTGAACCCTGGGCCGCCGAAGTGGAGCATGTGAACTTAACCACTCAGCCACAGGGCTGGCCCTTATAAATATAGGAGTTTTAGGGGGGTTTTTTTTGAGGAAGATT